TTGGGGCACTGTAATTAGGAAATTGTTTTGTATTAGCTTTGATGATGAGAACATTTTGGAAAGGCATCAGTATGTTCTGTTTTTCGAGAGTGTCTATGGTACTTTCTTTAGATCTTCTAGCATTCTCCCAGAGCAAAGTGGAACCACTGGGTTAAATGGCTTCCTTCTCCCAGGTCTGCAGCTGATGAGTGATGGTGTCAGGGCCTGGCCCCCGTCGCTTGTTCTTACTGTTCTGCTGCCTTCCTCATAAGCAGACAGCGCAGTATCACACGCTTATGCGTGAGGACGTGGCTCCTCTCTAGGCACCAGCTTTTTCTGACAAATAAATGATAGTTAACTTCAAGCTCATAGAGTCCCACCAGATTCTGTTTCCCCAAGTGCTGAAATTAAAGGCGTGCACCACCATCCCTGGCCACTACTAAATATTTTTGACAAAGTCCCAAAGGTCCTAATAAATATATTTTCATGGCCTAAGTTTTAAAGAAAAGGTCATGATAAATACACTTTTATGGCAGTTTTTTTTTTAAGATAGATTATTTTGTACCTTTTTAGGAGTTCAGATCTATCCAGTCTCATGGGAATACCAAGCGTAAACACTAGCAATAATATTTTACATTACTGCCTTGGAATTTCTCATGGAAATCCAGGGTGTGATTTGGAAAATTTTTAATTTTAGGACTTTTAGAGGAGGTTTTTAATACATTTTGTGTGTTTTATATTGGTCATCTTTTTTTTTTTAAACTTTAGTTGAAATTGAAGGAATTCGTCAGATTTGTATATTTTAGAAAAAATATTTGTATATTTTAGAAATTTAGTTGAAATTCAAGGAATTGGTCAGATTTTGTATACTTAACTTCACTCATTTATAGTTAAAATTATAATTTGCAGTTATTCATGATATGATATAAAGCTAATTATATGATTTGCAAGTTCAAAGTATGAGACTTTTAAAATGGAATTCTTTGATTTGACAAGTAATACATGATCTAGGTTCACGAATGTCATTTTCCAGCATTTGAAATGTTGTGTGTCATTACATTTTTTTTTTAAAGTTTGCTTTAGGACTGACTTGGGGAATGGCTTAGTTGGTAATTTACTCTTGTGAAAACATGAGGACCTGAGTTCAGATCCCAGCACCCTTGTAAAAAGTAGGTACAGCAGCACAGGCCTGGGATCCCAGTGCTGGGAGCTGGAGACAGGAGGATCCCTGGGGTTTTCTGGCCCTAGCCAGATGGGCAAGCTCCAAGTTCAGAGAGAGCTGGGATGAGAAAGAGGATGACATCAGCCTCTGAACACACACAAACATGTGAGCACACACGCATTCACACATACACGCGAGCACACACGCATTCACACATACACGCGAACACACACGCATTCACACATACACGCCAGCACACACGCATTCACACATACACGCCAGCACACACGCATTCACACATACACACGAGCACACACGCATTCACACACGTGAGCACACACATTCACACATACACGCGAGCACACACGCGCCCACACATACACGTGCATTCACACATACACGCGAGCACACACACGTTCACATGTACACGAGCACACACGTTCACACATAGACGTGAGCACACACATTCACACATACACACGAGCACACACACGCGTTCACACATGTACGCGAGCACACACGTTCACACATACACGTGAGCACACACGCGTTCACATGTACACGAGCACACACGTTCACACATACACGCGAGCACACACGCGTTCACACATACACGCGAGCACACACGCGTTCACACATGTACGCAAGCACACATGTTCACACATACACGTGAGCACATTCACACATACACGCGAGTACACACTCGTTCACACATGCACGTGAGCACACACGTGTTCACACATATACGCGCATTCACACATACACGCGAGCACACAACCACAGCGTTCACTTCACAGCTGTTTCATTGCTGTTCTGTCTTTAAATAGGCAGTTAGCTGGACACTTTTCTAACATAGTAAATAGGTTCCTATTGATTGAGCGACACAAAAACAGCACTGGAGAAAGGGAATTCTGTTCATGTGAAAGCAAAATAAGAATTGTCTTTCTGTTTACAAAATTGTACTTTTAGAGAATGTGTTCTTTCCTGTGTATATTTAGAGGTTCTTTGAAGTTATTAGTCATTAGTATTGAGAATTCTTTATTGCTATATTTGTTGCTTTGAATACATTTAAAAATTTTCAAGTTTAATTTTGTAACTTTTAGTGTACTGTATATATATATTAATTTAATTTAATTTTATTTTACAATACAATTCAGTTCTACATATCAGCCACGGATTCCCTTGTTCTCCCCCCTCCCGCCCCCTCCCCTTCCCCCCAACCCACCCCCCATTCCCACCTCCTCCAGAGCAAAGTCTCCCCAGAGGACTGGGATCGACCTGATAGACTCAGTCCAGGCAGGTTCAGTCCCCTTCTCCCAGACTGAGCCAAGCGTCCCTCCATAAGCCCCAGGTTTCAAACAGCCAACTCATGCACTGAGCACAGGACCCGGTCCCACTGCCTAGTTGCCTCCCAAACAGATCGAGTCAATCAACTGTCTCACCTATTCAGAGGGCCTGATCCAGTTGGGGGCCCCTCAGCCTTTGGTTCATAGTTCATGTGTTTCCATTCATTTGGCTATTTGTCCCTGTGCTTTATCCAACCTTGGTTTCATCAATTCTCGCTCATATAAACCCTCCTCTTTCTCACTAATTAGACTCCCGGAGCTCTACCCCTGGGCCTAGCCGTGGATCTCTGCATCCAGATTCCTCAGTCATTGGACGGGGTTTCTAGCACAACAATTAGGGTGTTTGGCCATCCCATCACCAGAGTAGGTCAGTTCAGGCTGTCTCTCAACCAGTGTGCTGTATATTTAAGTTCCAAATTCCTGTAAGTTTTCATCTGAAAATCCATGTTGCATTCATGAAAATTTCCCCTTCCCTATATTAGAGCTGAGTAATCTTTACTTTTTCTAGAGAAATATTTTCTCATACTACAGATTTAATTTAGTTAAAATATCTGAATCAAATAATTTTTAATTATAAATCCCAAGCAGAATAAATTATATTATCATTGATGTGTTAAAAATTATTTTGAAGTGCTTCAGGCATTGGTTCTGTTGTTGATACATCTTGGTGATATATAGGCAGAGCCAGTATAGGGAATAGGTAATATTACCTACCCTTAGAAGTAAGAGGAACTTCATTAAGTTTTGTATCATCTACACCTGCCTCACACATTTCAGTATTGTCTTCGCTAATGGGACTCTTGCAGTAATAACTGAATTGCTCTTTGGATAAGGCTATATTTGAATACGGGATACAGACATGTTTGTCCCACTGTGTTCATGCATTTCAAATTTTTATTATTTTTAGATTTATTTATTTTTATGTCTGCCTTTTGCCTTTATGTATATATGTGTACTTTGTGTGTGCCTTATTTCCCCAGAGATCAGAAGAGGGAGTTGGATTTCCTGGAACTCAAATTACAGATGGTTGGGAGCCACCATGTGGCTTTCTGCAAGAACATGTGCTTCTAACCACAGTCTCTCCAGCCCTGTTCATGAATTTCAGATTCCTGCTTTTAGACTATTTAGAAATGATAAGGGTCAACATTAATACAATATAAACTACATGCAAATTTCTGTGCCAACTGTTTATATACATGCTCATCTAATTCTTATATTAAACACATTATTAGATATTTATTTCACTTTTTGAGATGTCTCACTGTATTACCCTATCTAGTTTCAAGCTTCCAGATTCAGCTATTCTTCCTGCCTCAGCCTCCCGAATAGCTGGTACTGCAGGCACACACCCCCACACCAGGACTGGATGGTTGGTTGAGTGAGTTCCCTCACCTCTTCCTTCCCCTCCTTTCTCCCTTTCTTTTGTTATTCTTTCTTTCCCTCCCTCCTCCCCGTGTCCTCTCCTGTGCCTTCTCCCTCTCTGATTTCTCATTTACTGAGGCGTTATTTTCCCACCTGTCTTTATCACCTTCTGGAATGTCATCCCAGCTTGACAGTAAGAGAGAGAAGTTAGATCAGCTCACTAGCGTTCTGGGGATGTATCTTGAATAGTAGAGAGCATTTCTAGCATGTACATGGCATTGATTTGGATCCCCATTACTGTGTACACTGGGTCAAGTGGTACTAGCCTGTGTAAACCCAAGGGGAATCAGAAGTTCAGGCCTTTCTTGGCTCCATAGCAAGTTCAAAGCCAGCCTTAGCTAAACGAGGGCCTGTCTCAGAAGAAAGACACAGGGAGGAAAACTAAGAAATGAGCTTTCTAGGATAAAAGCCCTGAGAGGATGGTTTCCTGCAAAGTGGTCCAGTAGCACAAACCAGTCTTCAGCTTGACACTGGTGGACTTGGGGAGCTCTTGATTGCTTCTCTCTGCATTAATTTAAAAAACAACAACAACAACAACAACAACTTATTTTTATTCTTTGAGAATTTCACAGTGCACACAGCATAGTTCTATTATATGACCATATTCACCCTCCAGACCCCCCAACTCTTCCCAGATACACACTCTCCTTCCTCCCTTCACTTCCCAACTTTGTTCGTTTCATTTTTTCATGTGTACATGTGGTTGATTGACTTGATGAGTACCATGTGTTTGTGGGTGCAGAGGCCAGAAGGAAGTGAGAGATCCCTTGGAGCTGGACTTAGAAGCAGTTGTGAGTTGCCTGATGTTGGTGCTAGGAACTGAACTTAGGACCTTTAGAAGACTTGCAAGTGCTCATAACCCTGAGGCTCTCTCCAGGCTCCCACCCCCTTTCAAGCCCCTCCGAATCTAGCTTGGCTCCACTTAACTTTAAAGAAGTGTGGTGAGATGATGATAAGCCACAGTAGTCCGAGCTCTGTAAGCACAGATGAATGTCAAGTGTATCTAAAGTGAATGGCTCATGTTTGCTCTTACGTTTAATGATGGTACATTCAAAAGTTGTAATAATTGAATATTGACATTTCCCCCAAAGGTTTCGAAAGAGGAAAAGAAGATATTTCTCAAAATAAAGATGACTCTTCACTGTCCATGTCCAAGAGCAAGGTAGGCAAACTGTTGTCCCAGTAGTGGCAGGACATCCCCACATTTAAAAGGGGGGTGCTGGACTGGAGTCCTGTGAGTGCTGAGAGGAATTGGTGTGTCGGTGTGTTGAAGCCGTGTAGTATATGCGGGAAGTATAAAGGTCTACACTCGGACTGACTGAGGTGCTGTTGAGTACTTGGAAAGTACTGTTTGGTCACGGTTGCTCCCCTAGAGTGACACTGGTTTTGGTGTGTGGGCTACCGCAGAACTTCTCAAACCGGAATCTCAGAGTGCCATTAAGAGATGTCTCAGGCTTCGTAAGTTTAACAAAACACCCTTAAGTATTTTAAATGTATTTATATGACAGTCAAAATACATGCATTTACCAGGTAATGAGCAAAGATCTTTGTGGTGCTATCCTATAATTAAAATAGGGCATGGCTATTCTAAATCAGTGTTTTTAAAAACACCACTATAGTGATGTGGTGGCCTTCTATAGGTTGATAAAGTTGAGTGAGTTTTCAAAGTTTGTCAAGGGATTTGACTTCTGATTTGTTTTCTGGTAAGATGTAATAGCAGCAACAAGAGCTTTGGTAGAGATTTGGAATCGACTTCAGTGGTTGGAAGACGACTCCTTAGCCCAGTGCACTGACTCTCTGTTGCAGCAGTAGCCTTTGCTCATCCTGCCCCATGTGTTCTTCTCCTGGGCTTAGGAATAGTTGAGAGGATTACGTAGTGTGTTTTGATGCATGCTTTGTACATACTATTCGTAGTTAACATTTTATTATTGGGTACATGTGTGCATGTACATGTGTACATATGTGCAGACACATGTACATATGTGCATACGGAGGCCAGAGGAAAAACCATGACTGTTTTTCCCTAGGCACCATCTATCTTGTTTTTAATATACAGGGTCTTTCGTTGGCCTGGAATTCATTCACCAAGTAGGTGAAACTATCTACGGCGAGCGCCACCAACGCCCGGCGAAACCTGTCTATTTTTATGTTTTGGTTTGATGGAGAGTACAGGTGTGATTGAACAAAAAGGATAACAAAGGTCTGAACTAGTTGCACGCTCCTCGTCTAGAATGCAGTGCTCTAGGTTCGGTTCCCAGCTAGCTCCATTAAGAAGAAACAAACAAACAAACAAACAAAGAGAATGCTCTAGTTTGCTTTTAATTGCTGTGATAAAATACTGACCAAGCCAGCTCTCTGGAGGAAAGGATTTATTTGGCCTACACGTCCATGTCACAGTCTGTCACTGAGGGACGTCAGGGCAGGATCTCAGTCAGGAACCTGGAGGCGAGAAATGAAGAAGAAACTGAAAAATGCTGCTTACTGGCTTGCTTAGTCTGCTTTCTTATGTGCCCCTGGACCACCAGCCCAGGGCTAGCACCGCCCACAGTGGGCTGGGCCCTCCTCCATCAGAAATGCCTACAAGCAATCTGATGGCGGTAATTCTCCAGCTGAGAGCCCTTCTTTCCCAGCCACTCTAGTTTGTGTCCAGAAGAGAGGATAATGAAGGGTAGCCCTCAGGCTCATTTGCTGAGATACAACCCCCCCCCCCAGCAGAGAGGGTAATGAAGGGCAGCCCTCAGGCTCATTTGCTGAGCTTCTTCTTGGTGTCTCAGTGTCAATGGATCCTCCAGCAAGTATAGGAGAGCATTTGCTGTAGGGAAAAGTTGAATTTCTTTTATGGCCTGTTCCCAGGAAGAAAGAGAAGATACAGCCAGAGAAGGGCCTTCTTCTCTGTACTTGTCCTGTAGTTTCCTTCATCTTAAAATAAGCTGAAGGCTAAGATGCTAGGTTTAGAGCACTGTGTGCTGGGCTCTGCTGGACCAGGCTTTCTCTGTGTAGCCCTGGCTGTCCTGGAACTCGTGCTGTAGACCAGGCCAGCCTCGAAGTCACAGAGCTCTTCCTGCCTCGGCCTCCCAAGTGCTGGAATTAAAGGCGTGTACCACCACCGCCTGGCTTATAACTTGTAATTTTTAAAAATCAAAGAAAAATGTACCCTAAGCACTGTAGCTAGAAATACAGTAGAATTATTTTTTTAAAGTTTGTTTTTACATACTTCGTACCAGAATCGTTGAATATCCGGTGTAGGAATATTCCTTCTCAGAAGCTCTATAACATGAACACCAAGACCGATGTGCCACAGCCTTCTAGTTCTCATCTGTGTAGTTGCAGAGATAGGGCAGGGACTGGGGAACCCAACTTTGCAGCCGCTGATGGCCACTAATGACTAAGACAGACGACAGGTGCCTTGTTACACCTGTGCTTTGTATGGATGAGTATTTAGAGTGTTGGTCTCTAAAATGAAGCAGGAAGTCCAAGTCTCCATTATACTAGGCACATCTCAGATGCTCAGTAACTACATATGGCTAGTGGCTGCCGTGCCAGACGACTCCACTGTAGTGAACTGATGAGCAGTCTGGGCTCTCTGTGACCTTGTCCTGGAGAAGCAAGCAGAACCTAGAGTGAACAGCTCTTAACATGGGAACCCTTGGGTTTGGTAACATTATACTCGTTCTGCTGTTTTTCAAGAGATCTATAGGAACTAGTTTGTTCCTAAATATGTTAATGTATACCTACTCATTTTTTTTATTCTCCAAATTATTCAGGGGAACATATTTAAAATTTAAACATTATTTTATTTTTATGTGTGTAGGTGTTTTGCCTGAATATATATCTGCACTGTGTGTGGTGCCCAGAGAAGCCATAGGAGGCATTGGATCCCCTGGAACTGGAGTTACAGACAGCTGTGAGCCACCGTGTGGGTGCTGGGAATTGAACTCTGGTTCTCTTGAAGACCAGCCAGTGCTCTTAAAGGCCAAGATGTCTCTCCATTCCCCAAACAGCATTTTTAAATATCTTGTGTCTGTGACAGGAATGGCCATTATGAGTAATTTATGTAGTAAGATAAATGGAACCTTGTTGCTAGGATAAGAGGTTTTTGTAACATAGATGCCTTAACTTGATCCTCCAACATCTATGGACCTGCCTATAAGTTCAAAGTTATTACTATTTGTTTGAAAAAGATATGCTTGCCTGAATGTTTAAAATTCCTTTCCAACCCAAAGTAGCTTTGTAATCACAGTAACTTACTATTATTCCTTAAAAATGTAGTGTTTTGTAGTTTCTAAAGGAAATGACAAGACATATTCTACGTTAATGCCTTACTCTGAAAGGTGGATTTTGACTACAATTAAAAACCTGAATCAGAGCTTGTATACCAAGTATTATGTTAAACACTTTATGTGTGTTACCTTATTTAATCCCCAAAGCAGCCTTGTGAGTTAGCAGTAAATAAGGATATTTTACTAATGAGGACATTAAGACCCGAGAGATGAATAACTTCTTAAAGTCACATAGCCTGTAAGGCCATAATAGTTAAGTGTGTGTGTGTGTGTGTGGGGGGGCAGGCTAGTATTTTAAAAGCCATTTAACAGATTCAAGAAAATCTGTGGGCAGGGGAGAGATGTCACACACACACACACACACACACACACACACACACACACACACACACACACACACACACACACCACCTCAGGCAAGTGGGAGAGCTGTCTCTGTCACCCACCAGCTGCAACACTCTGGAGAGCAGGCCCTGTACTTCACTTGGGCAGCACAGTAGAGCTGACCCTGTAGGCGGAAGTATGAGTGAGCCAACCTGAAGTTATGAGCGTAAGAGAGCTGTTCCCATTATTCATCTGTCTTGAGGCAGTATAGGGGAAGGGAAATGCTCAATCCCCCATCCCCCACCCCTACCCATCGGCACCTGAGGCAGGTGGGAGAGCTGACCCTGAGGTCGTAAGAGTGAGAGCTGTCCCTGACCCTCATCAGCTGCAGCGCTCAGGAAAGTGGCCCTATACCTCGTCTGGACAGCACAGAGGGGCTGGCCCTGAAGGTGTAGGCGTGGGGGAACTGAAAGCAGGAGAGCTGGCCCCGCCCCTTGGCCCCGCCCCTTGCTCATCGCTGCAAGGGACCCGCTAGCCAGGGCAGGGTTGGAACTCCCTCTGGTGGTGAAGACAGGAGAGCTGGCAGGCTGGCCACCCCTGCCCCCAGGCCCAGAACCAGCGCCGTGTGTTGGCGCTCCCCCAGTGCTCACCCCATCTGCCATCTGCTGGAGCACGGGGGTGGGGCCAGTCCTCTGGACCCAGGGCTGCAGGATCTCCATGACACAGGGCAGCAAAAGATGTCCGGGTAGAGTCCCAGTGAGGGCCCAGCGTCATCAGTGGTGTAGCAGAGACCAGGGACCTTGAACCAGACCAATCCTTTGTGATGAAGGCCTGCATGTAAAAATGTACAGATAAAGGGGTTTACTGCGTGACTCACTGTATCACACTGCAGCTTCCAGGATGAGATTTTCCCTTTCTCCCTTTTTTCCTTTTCAATTTTATTTTGTTTCATTCTGGCCGGGAGGGAGATGGGTGGGATAGAGAGGCATGATGTGAAAGACACAAAGAATAAATAAACAGTTAAATAAAAAGAAATTCTACGTATTAAAAACCTTTGGTCATTATTAAGCTGGTAACCACTCATGTTTTTGAAGGAAGAGAAGCCTTCTATACTGAATGTCTTCAACAAAGAAATAAAGATGGTTCATGTTTTTTGGTTTGTTAAAGGTATGTTAATTCAGACCTAGGCCTGGTGGGACATGCCTGGAATTCCAGCTACTTAGGAGACTGCTGAGGCAGGAGGATTGTAAGGTCAAGGCCAGCTCGAGCAGTTTAGTAAAACCCTTTCTCAAAATTTCAAAAAGGAAGAGGGGAGTTGTAGGTGTAGTGCCTCCAGCAGAGCAGTTGTTCGCAGCCTGCAAGAGGCCATAGGTTCAACCCCAGCACCGCCGAAGGTTAAGAAAGAGAATGTTTGACTCACTGTTTTCCACAGCTAGACTGTACAGCATGTCAGTGTCAGCTGAAGGTGTCTGTGTCCTGATGGCCTGTGTCACACGACATGCTTCTAGCCCGCTTATTCATATGACGGTGCACTCTTGTAATAACCAAACCAGATCTTGTCACTTGGAGTTGTTGGGGGACGCATTTTCTCTTGTTTATAAAGATAAGTTTTCCGTTTGATTCTGGTTGCTATATATAGTATATGAGGAGCTTTTAAAAGCAATAAACCAATATAGTGAGATTACTCAATTACTAATTCTGAGAATTAGATAGCTAGACCAAGATACAAAGGCCTGCTTATCGATTTGGTGTCTGTATGATTTGGGGAAAGATACTTAGTCTGTAGGTACAGTCTCCTTATTAGTAAAGGGGGTGCTATCTAGGGTACTATCTGAGGCTTGCTTTCGGCTGAAGTGGAGTGGTGCGCACGCAGTACTTTGTGAGTAGTTAGCAGCCATCAACTTCATCGACATTCAGGCCAACAGTCCGAGTGTTCTTCATTAGATAGTGCATCTAACGTGCACTCTTCCTAGATGGTTTTGGTATCACAGTGCATGTCGTCACCATGAGAGCTAACACTAGGGTATTTCAAGCTGAGTTAGGTCAGCAGTGTGCACGTTTGACCCGGCTGATGTCTGTCTTCTGCACTGAGAAGTATCTGCAGTTACTACCGTCATTATAACCTCATTCATTCCCCATTATGAGAAATACTTCATACCAACCACAGACAAGAGACATAAGCTTTCATGGCATTTTCATTCGGTTGGTTTATCAAGAAACGTTTGACTCATTCCTTTTCTTCAGCTGGCACACTGCTGTCGCCAGTGAATAACATGGCGCTGTCACCATGGGAGGAAGGAGTTTGTATTTAAGCGTTTTTATTTTTGATTAGAGCTAGTGATGCCATGTAGGTCTAGTCGTTTAACATTTGAAAGCCACCATTTGGATGGAGTCCCATGTAATCCTTGATCTGAGGAGTGTTACTAAGATTGCTGGTCTGTTTCCCTGTGTCTGACAATGGTGACAGTGAAAAATTAGAGGACTTTGAAGACGTAGACTGATACTGCTGTTCGAAGATTTATAGAAATGCCTTTCAAATGTATGCTCTTGCACCCTAGTGAAAGATTATGGGCACTGGCTCAGGAGGTCTGGGCTTTGGTTGCTGTTGTGTTAATGATTGTGACTAATCAACCTCTCTGAGCCTCTCTTTTTGATCATGTAAAAGGAATATAAAAACATGTGCTGTTCAATTTTTAAGGTTTTATGAAGATTAAATAACTATTAGCTATTAACCTACAGCTTTTTTCATTAATCATAATTTCAGTCCACTGGGAAGGTGGGAGGAGATAGGTACTGGGAGTATTGATGTTGAAACACTGGACAAGTAAAGTGGCTTAGTCTTAGTTTTTGAAGATGGAGGAGATGAGGTAGTGGGTAGTGTGTGTGTCAACTGGATGAAACTCACATGGGTTCCTTTTTTGTTTAGATTTTTCAACGGTCATTCTAACACTGCTTTGGCAATTTTTATACCAAGACTAACTGAACAATTGTATATTTTCTTAAAAATGTTCTGAGAAATACAATGTAAATTTAGAAATATTGACTTCACATTGCAGATTAATTTTTGAGCATGTGTGTATGTGTGTGTATGCATGCATGTTTGTATGTGTATGATAACACAAATACCCAGTAGGGAAAGCCTTGTATTGAAAATCTTTATTTGCTTAATTCATAGCAGCAAATGGGAAGTGTATAAGCAACATTAAGTTTATGTGGTATGTAAGATAAATTTAAGTTTTAATTATATTTTCTTTATTTCATTTTCATCTCAGTCTGAATCTAAACTTTATAATGGCTCAGAAAAGGACAGTTCAACTTCGAGTAAGCTCACTAAGAAAGAGTCTCTTAAGGTTAGTTTCTGAGTTACTTTTTTAAGCTTTTTTTTTTAAGATTATAATTACAATATTTCTCTCTTTCCTTTCCTCCCTTCAAACCGCCCCCCCATGTGCCCTTCCCTGCTCTCCTAAATTGATGGCCTCTTCTTTTGTTAATTGTTTTTGCACATATCTGTATATATATTCCTTAATGTAATCCACTCCGTCCATATATATAATGTTACTTGTAGGTATGTGTTCAAGCTGGCCATTTGGCACTGGGTAGCCAGTTGGGGTGCTCTTCCCTGGGGAAGGCCACCTGTCCTGCTCCCAGCTTTCCTCAGTTGTCTGTAGTTGTTCCTGTGGGGTTGAGGCCTGTGGGCTTTTTCTTGTCCCCTTTACATTTGGACAGTCGTGTTGATGGGACTCCCTGATCCTGTCACATTGTGCTTTATTTGTGCCTTTGAAGTGGGCTAAGAAGAAGTATCTCTGCGTGCTCTCCTAAAGGGGAAGGAAGAACTCCAGGGAATGGAAAGGCAAGCACACATGCACAGCGTTCATGTCTTTATAGTCATGTGCAGTCAGCAGGTGATAGTTTTTGACGACTGTCCCAGAGCACGCCGCTTCAGGCCACAGCTAGCCAAAGCACAGGCTCTTCACAGCTTTAACAGTAGAGTGAGCACCTAATTGTGTGTGAAACACCCAGTGGATGATTCTGGCATCCATTTAAATTAGTTTGCTAATTATCAGGCCCATAGGAATATGTATTTTGTTTGACTTGAACCATGTTTTAAATTTTGAGGCAATAAAAGTCCAGATTTCTAACTTCTCTTAAGAGATGTAGAGTGTTGGGGCTACCTTCCTGAATGGCCATAGAACCTGGAGCCTACAGGACACTGCTCTCTACTGGTAATGGTCCCTGCTGATCCATCTCATCTGTCTGTGTTCTATGGATGGTCCTGTGTGCATCTGTATTGGCAGTCTCATAGTAAATCTATTCATTTAGACATGGATATTATAAAGGACCACAGGGGGACAGAGAGATTGATCAGTGGTTGATAGCACTGGCTGTTCTTCCAGAGGACCCGAGTTCATTACCTAGTACCCACATGATGGCTAGCAACGCTCTGTAAATCTGATGGCCTTATCTGGGGCCTTTATGGGCACTGTATGCACATGATACACAGATATACATGTGGGATGGATGGAAAAACATCCATACACAAAAGTAAATAAAATCTCAAAAAAAAAGGGGGGGGCACAAGTCTAAGGCATTAGAGATACATAACAGTTAAACTTTATTATGTGTATGTAATCTCACATTTAACTTTGATAGGTTTTTAATCTTACCATTTAAGAAAAAATATAGACACTAGTAGGTTATTACTCTTTCCCCATTCAAATAACAAGACAGTAATAAAGCTATTAGTTCACTTCTGCTTTCTTGGGTTATTTCATAGAAGTAATTTACCTATGAAAGTAAAATGGTTAATATTTTGAACAAATTGATCTCTTAATTGTTTTTCTTAATTATTCCAGTCTTAGATTTTAGTAAAACAAAAGGGCACATCTTCCAGTTGGGAGCAGTTGCAGCATAACAAACAAAAGCTAAGAAGAAGCTAAGATTTCTACCAGTAAGAGATAGGGTAGGAAAGCCTAGCCTGGCGCTGTCGATCCCGGCCTTGGAAGCCAGTCTGCATTTGTTTGGATCCTGCTTCACACCTTGATAGCTCTGTGATTCTGGGCCTCAGTGTTTCTCTGCCTCAGTGTTCTTGAATGCAGTGAGACTAATAATAAATCTACTTGAAAAGCTGTGGTTGTTAAATGAAGTGATGTTATAGATATGAATTTAGAATAATAACAGTTCACCAATGCACTCCATGTTAACACTCTCAATATTTTATATATGCTGGAAATCCTGTAGCACAGTTAAAAGAATATGATGGACATAGACATTCTTCAAACAAACAAACAAACAGAAACCCAGAGCTGGCAGTGGTGGCACACACCTTTAATTCCAGCACCTGGGAGGCAGAAGCAGGCGGATCTCTGAGTTCTAGGACAGCCTGGTCTACACAGAGAAACCTTGTCTCAAAAAACAAAACAAAAAATCAAGTAGGAGATTTTTGTGTGTTTTAAAACCCAGAAGCTGTGTATTTCTTCAGATTGCATCTGAAAGGGTAAAAGTGATTTAAAATTGTGTGGAGGACTTAAAATGATGTATCATGGAAGCCGGATTCCCACCTGTCTTGTCAAAAGCTCCGGTCCAATTTGTTTTTCTTAAATCCCGGAGTTCTAAGAAGCGGTTTCTTCTCCTGAGTGTTCTGTTTCTATTTCTGATAACTTAGGTACAAAAGAAGAATTACCGTGAGGAGAAGAAGAGAGCCACGAAGGAGTTGCTCAGCACCATCACAGACCCCTCTGTCATTGTCATGGCCGACTGGCTGAAGGTCAGGGCTTGGGTTTGAACTCTCGCCGAGTGCTTACTTACCGGGATGAGAAAGTTGAAGACAAAATAAGATAGATTCTCAGTGGGAGGGAAAGTGTTTTTGTGTTCTGTATGCCAGTCTTCACAAAGGAACTCTAGGAGCATCACATATGGACAGCAAATCTGTTAAAAAGACATTTTGATTAGTGTGGTACTATGTTGTCTGATATAACGCATTATAAAACTGTGTTATTCCACTTACCCTTAGGTATTATTGCAGATTGGAATTTGTATTATTAGGACAAAATGAAGACAAGTTGGTAGAGAAGTTGCCCCAGGAAGCACTGTCCAGTACACACTGCTGTTGTATTTTGTTTTTCTCACCCCAATCTTTGTCCTCTTTCCCAATCTTACCTGAGGGACAGCTGCAGGAATCTTTACCTTTGAAAGTGAACGTGTAAGACTTTCTCCCAGGAAGCTCTGGTGTCTGACACTTACCACATCCCAAAAGACTTTCTTTTTCCTTGAGTTGGCAAAACTGCTACCAAATGATTCCTAGAAACATTTTAAAAGTTCTTCTGCTACAGTGTGAGTGCTAATCATGATTGCACACATTTCAAATACAACAAGGGTTTTCTTCAGTTTTGTGCTGAAGATAAATCCCGACTTACCATATCTCTTCTTTATTAGCTCTGGATCCTGCTTGTCTTCTTTTCCAGAGCCAAACTCATCCTCTCCAAGTCCCCAGGCATTCTTAGGGTGGAAGGGTCATGCCCCGTTATTTGAAACACAGTATTGTTATGTGTAGACGAATTTCTAAATGGTCTCATTAAATAAAAAACACGAGTGATACATAGGGGTGAAAGCCTTAGAGAGATCAGAGGACTAGGACAAACCACGAGCCAACCTCACCTCACCAACTCCACAGCTTCTAAAGAGAGTGACTTCCTGTCTACCTAGACTTAGATGCCTTGCTGTTCTGCCATCTGATTTGCTCTCTGTCTAGCTACATCACTTCCTCTTCCTGGCCAGTTCTGTCATTTCCTGTCTGTACAGGCCTCCAGAACTCTATGGTTGGTACTGGGATTAAAGGCATGTGTCACAATGCTTGGCTCTGTTCCCTAGTGTGGCCTTGAACTCACAGAGATCCAGACAGATCCCTGCCTGCCAGTTGATAGGATTAAGGGCGTGTGTTAACATTGCATGATTTCTGTGTTGTGGCTGGCTTTTTCCTCTGATCTTCAGGTAAGCTTTATTTATTAAAGCACAAATAAAATATCACCACATTTTAGCATAAATAAAGTATCACCACATCTATGTAGTAGCCCCCACTGGCCTTGAACACATGGCAGTCCCCTCCTCAGCACCTCCATGCTGGGATTATATAGGTGTACACTATCACACCTAACTCTGTGGCTGGCCTTTTAAACCTTCCCTTCATTTCTGATGGTTGACTCTCTTTTCTGTTGTCATATCCAAGATCAAGAGTGTTATGTCAGAGTAACTATCTTTCCTTTGATTCTCTCTGCTTACCATCTCTTTTATATAGAGAGAGATACACATGCATGCACGCGTGCATACCCCCCCCCACACCCCTTTTCTTAAATATTTTTCTTTTTTTATTTCTGGCTCCAGAGTCTCCCTAATTTCTTGTATCTTGGGATTACTGTGGTTCTGCCCATTTTGCTTCTTGAAACATTTCATAAAAATAAGTAGTGTGCTTACATTTAAAGGCTTCTTCTTCCTAGACGTTTATATAGCACACCTTAGGTACCAGCTAGAGCAGTTCCCTAAGGAGGGGCAGTGTGAGGACTAGGTGACTCTCTGGTTGTATAGAGGTTCCTTCTTTCTGTTGTTTCCCAAAGATTTAAGGGAAGGTCTTGATGTGCCAAAAGTGTTCAGAAAGGAAAAATAGAAAAGGCAAAATAATCATTTATTCCCATATATCGTTTGTAACAACTGCTACAAAAAGAATAATTTCAGTACTATAGAAGTTTGTTTTAATGACCCCTTAGGTGATGAAGGAGATTCAGATTCTACTTACTGTATAATTTTGAAACTTTGACATGCCCTTCTATGACAATTTGAACTTCTTCTTAGAATCAGGGGCCATGTTGACTCCACGTTCATCTGCACTGCATGTCATGAAGTAGCCTTTTAACTAAAGACCTGTTCAGTGTCAATTTATGTGCAATATAACGTTAGATTAAAACATTATTCAGCTTATTATTCTGTCGTCTAGAGAAAGAGAAACATATCAATCTTCAAAATAAATTTGTTTTTCTGTAGATTCGTGGTACCCTAAAGAGCTGGACCAAGTTGTGGTGTGTGTTGAAACCTGGGGTGCTTCTGATCTATAAAACACAAAAAAATGGTCAGTGGGTTGGCACAGTCCTTCTGAATGCCTGTGAGATCATTGAACGTCCATCAAAAAAGGATGGCTTTTGCTTCAAGCTTTTTCATCCTTTGGAGCAGTCTATTTGGGCAGTGAAGGTATGTGAGCACTTGGTGAGGTAAAGGTAAAAGTGACAGAGGTAAGGTAAGTCAACCAAATGCCTCGTGTCCTTGGACAGGACGCATAAAATTGTTTCTGTCTTCCATAGCTTTATTTATCCTTCTGTCTCTAGCTGTACTCAGTTGAGTATCAAAGAGCCTTTCACTTGCTTTTAAGACCTAAAACAATTTTCCTGAGAACATTTCCCCAACATATTACATCTTTTGTCATTGAAAATTAAATTTATATTTTTTCTTAATTGTGGATCCTATCTACTTCTTGTTTGTAACTGTGTAATGTTGGCTGACTCTTCATTCTTCCTCAGAATGGCTGTCTAAAACAGAAGCTGACACATTTTTGTGGCCTTCCCTGTAGTGATGGGGATGTGTGATGGGATGCTTGGGAGCAGAAGCCGTCCTATTTGCTCTTAGAAGATGCGGCTGTCTTTAAAGACAAGGAACTAATTTTTATAATTGAAAGTATCAGTTTGGTCCCTGAGTGCTATAACACCAGCAATAACAGGAAACAGAAATGCTTTCTCTGATCAATCATCAAGAAATTCTACAAACCATGAACAATGTCGTTTACATTAACCAGATGACCAAATCTTAAGTTTTTGCAGAGAGATCATTGCTTTTGTCTCTAGGGTAATGAATTAGTTCACCTTGAATAAAGAACAACTAACTGTACCAGGCAATATTGATGTCCCTAGGAAAGGATTTGGCCTTTTGTCACAGTAGTCTAGATTCATTGAAGAATAAAGTTACGATTACAGAATTATTTCTGTTTTGGAATTCAATTTTTTTTTTGTTACTAGTGATTTATAATTAAATGTCCAACTATCTAATTTAGACTTATAGAAGTAAAATATTTATCACCTAGGGATACCTATAGGATGACAGTTCTTGTTAACATTAAAATTGTATTAGTATGGTAAATTTTAGGTTTTCTTACTATATGAACAACATATGTGGACTGACTACAAAGTGAAGAACTTAACCCATAGATGATGTATTTTGCAGGGAGTCTGTTATTTCATCCTCTTACTTAGAAGGATATAGATTTTTCCTGATACAGAGAAAATTGAATCCTAAAGTGTTTGCTGTAGTAGTTTTCCTAGTAGAGACAAGATTAAAATTTAAGTAGTCTGACTCTAGGTTCTAGTGTGTGTTTATTTTCATTAAAAAATTTTTTTTTTAAAATAACCACAGTAAATGAAGCAATTCTCTTTTCTTTCTTGGTTTAGAAAAAGTAAAAGTTTTTGAGATTAGTCTTTAAAACAGATAGTAATTGAATATAAAGTGTATGTTTTCTCATAGATCCAGTCAAAATTCATTTTGCTTTATCTAGTGAATTATATTTCCAGTGACTTTTTTCATACTTCTATAAATACAGTCTTTCTCAGATTGTAAAATAGATACTCTTTGTAATTGTGTCAGTGTGTTAAATATTAGGTTTTTAGTATATGAGCACTATTTACAGGTAATAGTTAAGTGATAAATTTTATCATTTGTTCAGCTTTCTGTTAAGGAGGCATATTTGTTGGGAAAGAGTAGTTGAATACTAAGATTGGCATTCTTAAGACAGATGTAATTAAAGTTGGTTTGCTTTTAGATTATAATTGTGCCTGCTATAACCCACATCTGATACAAATAATAATGCTAACTTATTGTTGCTCTTTCACAATGCTTACCCTGTACCATCTGTTTTCTTATTAAGGGTCCAAAGGGCGAAGCTGTTGGATCCATAACTCAACCCTTACCTAGCAGTTACTTGATTATCCGAGCAACTTCAGAGTCAGATGGTAAATACTTTTTGATGGACTGGCTGGCTCTAATTTTCAGGGATTATTTTTCGTATTACTTTATATTAACCTTGGAGGAAATCACATTTTTGTAGAACACTTGAAGCAAAATACTGTAACCATAAACTATGTAGAATGCTAAATACATTCCTCGCTTTGCATACGAAGAATTCTGATAGGAAAGACACATGTCACTGGACACTCTGCAGCTCAGCTTCTCTCTCATTCTCCACTGACACAGCAATTCTTTTGGGACTTAATAGTATTTTTTTGTAGTAATTCTTTAAACATTATCATTTGAACTGAGATATTCAACCTGTAAGCTGTCATACATTAACAATTGTGGAACACATAATACTGATTTGATTTGATTTTATATAAGACAGCAAAATACAAATAACTTTATCAACAACCCTCATTCATAGCCAGATACATAATTCATTTGGCAAATAATAGAGCAAAACACAACACTCACACAAACACATACACACACACACAGACACACATATACATATGCAACATAAAATAAGTAATAATGGATTTTTCTTTACCGTCACACTTTGTAGTTTAGATTAGCTTGATGTAGGGAATCTTACAACCTTCCAGTACTGACTCTTATTATGCAAGAGAATTACTGTTTATATTAAAATATTGACATGAGATTTCAATATGAAAATGTTTTATATGGTTTAATTTTCTGCCAGATCTTGAAACATGTATGGATTTTAACAGTGCTTAAATATATTAATATATTTCATAATTCCACTGATACAATTTTAAATTATAAAGGAAAGCTATTAATATTGACAGTCATGGCAGTTAATGATAGCATTGTATAGGTATTTTCTCGGCTTAGATTTTTTGTGTTAAGCAAAACAACCAAGGCTCAGAAAGACGGGTGTTGCATGTTTTCTCTGTCTCTATGTGAGATGTAAACAAAGCAGCAGAGACAGAGAGCAGAAGCAAATGTTAGGAAGGAAAGGGAGTGGAGGAGCTGTTAGGAGCGGTGAGGAGAATGTGGTTTCCATCCGTTAGAGCACACATGAAAAGACCACAGCACAGCCCGTGATGGACTAATGCATGCTAGCATCTTTTCCTAGACGGACATAAAGTGGATGCTAAGCCTGGGGATAGGGCTCTTGTCAACAACGAAACATTGTTTCAGTTTGTTTATAGTAGAAACATACTCTCTTCAGTGTGTTCTATGTCCCTTGTTTGATACTTTAAAATTGCATGTTAATATTCTAAAGTTTTAGATTGGATATGTTTGCATAATGCATTCTGTCTCCTATTTATTGTAATTTTAAAATGCTTATTGTTTAAAAGCATTTATTAAAAAAGATGCATTAAAATCCTGACAAGCTTTTATATTTAAATTAACTTTTCTAGTGCTTGTTTCTCAAAGAAACAATATGTTTCAAGGTCAGAGGGTTAAATTAAATGAAGGCTGGTTTCATTCATTGTCTTGCTGTAAACCCATGTTGTTGTAGGAAGGTGCTGGATGGATGCCTTGGAGTTGGCTTTGAAATGTTCTAGTCTTCTTAAACGCACAATGATCAGGGAAGGAAAGGAGCATGACCTGAGCATCTCATCAGATAACTCCCACGTGACTCTGTACGGTTTGCTGCGTGCTAACAATCTCCACAGTGGCGACAACTTCCAGTAAGTGGCTGTTGCTGCTAATTGATAGTGCTTTTGGAGACCGTCCATTCATAAACCAGTGCTTTTGGAGACCGTCCATTCATAAATCAGTGCTTTCAGAGACTGTCCCTTCATAAATCAGCTGTCACTTCTACTACCCTAGTAACGTGTAGAGTGTTGAGAGTTGCTTGTCTTACTGTTAGAAGGCTTATTTTATTATATGATTACTATAGGCCTTTAAAGTTAATTTATTTGCTATAAATCAGGCATAGAGATTGATTTTCTTTATTCTAGCCAGTTTGCATTATTCTTTTTTTCCAGGCACAAGTGAACTGAGTGTCTACTTTGTCTTTGTGCATAGTGTACCTTGCATTAAGAATGGTTTCTCCTTGTGTCTCCTTCTGTCATATCCCATTTCAAGATCAGGTTGACTACTGTATCCCTTGTGAAACTCTCAGTCTCAATGAGATACCTCTCCTCCTCTTCCATTGTTCTTCTCTTAGCATGGTTTGTAATGGAACTGGATTTGCCTGCCTTATATGAAGCATTTTTATGTGTGTGAGTGTTTTGCCTGCATTTATGTCTGGGCATCTCATTCCTGCTGTGCCTTCAGAGGCCAGAAGAGGGTGTCTGGTCCCCGGGGACAGGAGTTCACAGATGACGTGGGTGTTGGGAATTGAACCTGGGTCCTCTAAGAGGAGCCATTCTCTTACCCACCGCACTGTCTCTCCAGGCCCTGTGGACACATTTTGAGTGGCAGCTGTATCTGGTTTGTGGTTTTTGTCTCCTGAAGCATTATTGTAGCGAATACTAACATAATATCTCTGGCAAAATTGGGATGCAGTGCACAGATACTTTTCAGGTGCTGGCATCTTTTTATTGCTTGTATAACAACATTCCCTCTTTTCATCATTTGAAGCTTCACTTTGGGGTTGTTGGCTTATTTCCTTAAGCAGAAATTGTCATTCCCGTTGTTCCCTGTCATTTTTCTGCTCACAATTAAGCCTGTCAGATAAATGTGAAATAGATCTCAAAGCATGTTTTCCTTCTTATTCTAAGAGGTTATTTTGGGGTAACTTTGGAGCTCTTTATAGTGGAAAGTCATAGTTCACTAAGCTGAGAACATGATGGTCTTGACTTAGTGTTTTTCTTCAAACCAGATGTGGTGGTGATCCTGCTTCTGGTGACAGCATTTGTTAAAACAGTAGGTGGGTGGACCGAGCTTAGTCTACATTCTGTTGTGAGAACATTTCAGTCCCGAGAGTTAGAGAGGCAAGCGCTCAGCTTGTCCTCTTCTGTTGCAGGCTTCTTTTAATTTCTTTGTGCCTTTTCTCACTCATCTGTGAAAGAACAACAATATTGCCAGATAGGATAATCCCAAAGATGATGTTAGCTAAACCAAGTAAATCACTTAGAACTGTGCACAGCACATCGTAATGCCACATGCGATTCTAGTTTATGGATTTGTAGTCTTAGCCTCCTCTGTTCTTATTCCACTAAGGCTGAATGATAGTGAAATTGAAAGACAGCACTTTAAGGACCAAGATCTGTATTCTGATAAATCTGACAAAGAAAATGATCAAGAGCATGATGAATCTGACAATGAGGTGCTGGGGAAAAGTGAAGAAAGTGATACAGACACATCAGAAAGGCAAGATGATTCCTACATTGAGCCTGAGCCCATTGAGCCTTTGAAGGAGACCACCTACATGGAGCAGAGCCATGAGGAACTCGGGGAGGTGAGCACTGTCTAGTGGCAGAGTCTCGGCTTACTGACTCCAGAAAGCTCCACATGGAATTGTAGATGTTATTTGTCGGGCTTATTGTTTTCCCCAAAGAATATTTATATGCCACATGTTTCTTCAAAGTGGTATTGTGAAATCTTTTTATATTTATAAGCAACCAAAAACATACCCGAATGCCAGTGTAGTCTGCTAAACTTCAAGTTACACTTTCAAGTGTGTTTTTGAAATAGGATATTACTTGATATCATTGCCAGGTATAAAGTAAATTGGAAGTAGCATAAATTTAAAAGTTGCCAGTTATTACCAATGCAAGTAAAACAATAAACAACAAAACTAGGTATGGTGGCCCATGCCTGTAATCCCAGCACTTGGGAAGATGAAGCAGGAAGTTCGCAAGTTTTAAGACAGCATGGGATACCTTATCCCAATAGAAAAGTAAATTTTTTTGAACAAAACAATAATAGAATTTGGTTCTTTTGCATATGCTGTTATTTTGGTACTTCTTGGAGCTCTCCTGGTACTTTCACAGCCTAGACTTTATTCCTAAATGATTGTATGCATATTTTCATAATGCTTGGGATAGTCCTGGAGAGTCCTGTTTTTATCTTTCAGTGTCTTGTCTATGTGTCTGTCTAGGATAAAATGTTTCAGGGTGCTGTGTTCTGTTTGTTAAAGGCAGGTGAGGCTTCTCAAACGGAAACTGTGTCTGAAGAGAACAAAAGCCTTATCTGGACTCTGCTCAAACAAGTCCGTCCTGGCATGGACCTGTCCAGGGTGGTTCTTCCTACATTTATTTTGGAGCCCCGTTCTTTCCTGGATAAACTTTCAGATTACTACTATCATGCAGATTTCCTGTCTGAGTAAGTAGAGTCTTCTAGGAATAGAAGATCCCTGAATGGTTTTAGAATGTCTCAATAATGTAACAAAAAGCTATGGTGGCATGCACTTGTAATCTCAGCAGTAGGGAAGTGGGAAAAGGTGGCTTCCTGGGGCTCAGCAAGGCCAGTGAGAGACTCTGCCTCAACAACCAAGGGAGGAATGATACCTGAGGTCATCCTCTGGGGAATGGCAATTTTCTGCTCACCATTCCATAGTTCACTTGTTGCCACATTTGTGGAGTCTTGTAGCACTGTTTTCTGTGCTACTAAGTTTTGGCCCAGTGATTTGGACTTAAGAATCTGCACCAATATCTGTTGTCCATATCTGTTTTCAATTGTAGTTGTTAATTACATTAGTAAACATTGAAAACATCATAAGCTGAATCAAGAGATGATTGATACGTTACAGGAAAACTTTGCAAATTATGTAGTAGACAAAAGTGTTAATTCTCCTAAGATTTTAAAGAGCTCTTAATGCCAGCATGGTCGTGCACATTTGTGATCCTAGCACTCAAGAGGCTGAGGCAAGAGAATTGCTATGAGCTTGAGTCAGGGCTCTATGGCAAGGCTGATTCATCCCCCTCCATGTAATCGAAAGAGCTAGCTAGCAAGCTCTCTCTTAGAAACAGAGTGAAGATACCCAATAACCTGTAGAAAAAGAAGTGGGAAAAATGAAATAGAAACAGTTCTTAAATTGGAACCCCATGCAAAATATGAAGCAGCAGATAAAGGCTGGAGCACATAGTTTCGTTCATCTACCCATTGATGGAGAGCTTTCCCACTTGTTCTGCTCGCTTCTGTAGTTCTTGCTTTCCTTCATCTGTCTTAGAAAGTCATCCTCAGTGTGGAAAGCAGGTACTTAGAGCTCCTACGGTGAATTTCTGCCATTTTCACCAGTGGGAAGGTTTACCTTAAAGAAAGTAATAAATAAATGAATTAATCAGAAGGGTGGGCACAGCTCTCTGGCAGCACACATGGCTCCAGAGTATTCTGAGGCAGTGAGCACTCTGGAGCAGTTTGATGCAACCTGTGAGCTATAGCAGCTGTGGCAGTGCCGTGGCTGGTCTCTCGTCCTTTGTGGTTGCTTATGTGCACTGCTCTTACAGCTGTATCTCCACATCCTCCAACTGACATCAAGATTGCTGCAGCAGGACGAAAGTACTCAAACATTCAGAATAGTTCATGTGCCAGCCATAGTTCCCTGGCTAAAAAAAAATTTGGTACATCTGCATATAAAAGGAATAAATTCATAAAATGATATAATAGCTACCAAGGTACAAAAGAAATATAATTTACTACATTGTTTTTAAAAGTGGGACTGTTTGTTTATATTTGCTCATTATGCTTGAAGAAAACTTTGAAAAATAATTGTTTATTTTTATTTTTTATTATTTTTAAAATTATGTATGTTTGTGTGCTCATGCAGGCACATTAGTGTAGGTACCTGTGGAGGTCAGAAGGTGGCATTGGGTCCTCTAGAGCTGTAGTTACAGGTGGTTGTGAACCTTTTGACTTTGGTGTTGGGAACCAAACTGAGGTCCTTTGCAAGAATACTCTGCATTTTAACCACTGAGCTCTCTCCTCAAAGTGTTTTAAAAACAAGCCTGAGACCGGGCAGTGGTAGCACACGCCTTTAATCACAGTACTTGGGAGGCAGAGGCAGGTGGATCTCTGTGAGTTTGAGGCCAGCCTGGGCTACAGAGTGAGATCCAGGAAAGGCACCAAAACTATACAGAGAAATCCTGTCTCGAACCAAAATAACAAAACAAAACAAAAAAAACCAAGCCTGTATTAGTTAATTTTCTGCTGCTATGACAAAATACCAAGGCAGGTTACTGAGAGAAGGGTTTATAATAGAGTCTCTCGTGACATGGGAGTGGGGCTGGCATGCCAGCAGGGAGCAGGCATTGTGGAAGGAGTAGGAAACAGCACATCTCAGGTACAGGCACAAACAGAGCAGGTTAGAAGTAGGACAAGGCCATATGCCCTTCAAAGTCTGTGTCCTGTAGCTGGAGAGTTCTCTCCGGGTCCCACCAAGCCCCCAGCAGTCCAACAGCCCACTTACAAAATAAACACACAGACGTTTATATTATTTAAACTATTTGGCCTAATGGCTCAGGCTTCTTGCGAACTGTTCTTATATCTTAAATTAACCCATTTCTATAAAACTGTACCTTGCCACGTGGCTCATGGCTTACTGGCATCTTCATGTGCTGCTTGTCATGGTGGCGACTGGCAGTATCTCTCTGCCTCAGCCTTCCACTTCCCAGAATTCTTCTCTGTCCTTGTCCTGCCTATACTTCCTGCCTGGCTACTGGCCAATCAGTGTTTTATTTATACAGAGCGATATTCACAGCAGTGTCCAGGGACTTCCTACAGCAAAGCCATACATCCTAAGCTTTCCCGAGCAGTCCCCACAAGAAGGGACCAAGTGTTCAATGAAGCCTGAGTCTGGGGGGACAGTTCTCCTTTAAACCACCACAGAACTGTTTGTGCAAGAGTGAAGGAGGTACACTGTGAAGAAATCAAACATCAGTTGATGTTTGCACATCAGTCATAAAAGGTTTTAAATAAGACCTCAGTTTGTTATTAAAGAAAAACTCAACCTTTCTGGTTGGCAGTAAACCTAGGACTAGCCTTTGTCACCTTGCACCTTATCTTCAAAAATCAAGATTCCGGTCTGATGGGCTTGTGAAAGAGAATGCCTTTTTGTAAATAAGGATCTAATACATAGCTGCATCACAAACATGAAAACAACTTGCCAATAAAGTCACTGCTTTGTAGTGGTTGCAGTAGTAGTCACATGGTCAGGGAGAGAGGGAAGCTGAGTCATGGCTCCTCCAGGTTTCTTCAGTAGAGACCAGCCGTTACACTGGTAGTTTGTTCGGCTGGTAATACAACATACACTGGAGGGCTGGCAAAGCCCTGTTGATGGAGATTGTGACACATTCAGGAAGGGCGAAGGGCGGTGACTGGGAAAACACTGTGGACTGAAGTGATCGTAACTCTTCTTCCACACTTGTAATACGAATCCTGAGCCTTGCAGCAGGCACGCAAGCCCACATACCCCTTGATCTGAAAGGCTCTGTCAGCCTTCTGTTTTCTGTGTACTGTTCATTTCTACCACCACTGTTCAGGTTAGGTGCAACCAGGTGAACAGTGACTGATGCTCCTTCACTCGCAAGTGAAACTGGGGACCTCTAATCTAGCTGTTGACTGGGCTTCAAGGCACCACACAATGCACGAATCTCAAAAGTCTATGTTTAATTTTGTAGAAGAAAGAGGGTTGTTTGTGTTTTAGCTTACAGTTCTTATGGGAATCCATAATCTTGGGGAGGTATGGCAGCAGGTAGCCTGAGCAGGAAGCTGAGAGAGTACATCTCCAGCCAACTCGAAAAGCAGAGAATGTTCCCTTTTTAATTGAAGTTATTCACAGAGCTCCTTGTTAATCCTGGGTTCTACAGAACCCCATTTCGGACACTTTGGTTTGGAACTTCCAAAAACATTTTCAGCAATGTCCAGGTAGCACATGAAAGAATCAGAAAATTGGGATAAGGCAACCAGATTAAAAGAGAAAAATGATTCTTTAAGGTTTATTAGTTTTTAAAAAATTGTGTGTCTCTTTGTTGGGGGCCTGGGTATATGCACCTGAATGCAGTAACTCACAGAGGCCAGAGGAGGGATTGGAGTTGGAGTTGGAGTCAGTTGTGCGCCATTGGACATGGGTGCTGGAAAACCTCTGGTCCCCTAGCAAAGGAGTAAGCGGCTTTAACCTGTGAGCCATCTCTCCGGCAACAAGGAAAAGTATTCCAGAAGTAAATTTACGTGACTGTTTTACTGTTTATTTAAATACGAATTAGGTTTCCAACTATAAGTCACAGTAAGTGTGAGGGAGAATTTGTGATTGCATTAAATTATTATATTTACCATTTTTTTAGGGCTGCTCTTGAAGAAAATCCATATTTCCGTTTGAAGAAAGTCGTGAAATGGTATTTGTCAGGATTCTATAAAAAGCCAAAGGTAAAGTTTATCTTTTGCTGCTTTTTCCTCCTTTTTACTTACGTTTGTATGTTTGTGGGGGTATTTGGGTGCTGTGCGTGGTGCACACGTGGAGGAGGGCAGTTCTGTCTTAGATTATGTGAGTCTGGAACCCAGTAAGTCATCAGTCGGACTTGGAGACACGTGCCTGCACCCGCTGTGGCACTCACTGCCCGGGCACTCAGAAAACCCCCCGGAACTCTCCAGAGTGTCTGAGCAGTTCGTTGTTTCCTTAATCATTAGACTAGACCGGTAAGTGTTACCTAAGTAGCACCTACGATAAACAGCGTTTATGTGGGGGTTGTCGTCAAAGCAGTCTTCTGTGTTCTAGGTCATCTGCTCCATCCCAAGGAGTACAGTCAGAAAGCGGGAGTGAGAAACGGGTTTGAAGGGGCAGTGGCGGGAAAAGATACGAGACTAGAATAAAATGCTTGAGTCTGGAAAGAGGAAGCAGCCAGTGGAGGGAGGGCAGCTACCACCAGTCAAAACCCACCACTGCCCTAGTGATGGGCCGCCACTGAGTCCACGGAGAAGTGTGGTGTTAAGAAAGGAGGTGTCACCATCCTCCAGTTAGGAGAGTTGGTGCTGTTGCAGTGTGCTGGTCAAGCAGGAAGTGAGCACTGTTACACAAGAGCACTTCGTGGAAGGAACCTTAAAACAGAAATTAGAATATTAGTTTTCATTTGTAAGAGTATTGTGAACTGTGTGTGTGAACATGGACAAACCACTTAAATTTTAGGCCTATCTCAAAAGAGCTGAAGTTGCTGACATACAAATCCTGTGTTACCTGACATTTCCAATGCTGGGTAAATGCCAAAGAAGAGATGGCATCTTTATATTCAAAAGACACTTGCACCCCATATTCATTGACGTACCATTTGCAGTGACAAAAATATAGACGAGGCTCAGCAGGGGAATGTGGATAGAGACGTTGAACCAGTCAGTTGTCAGGGCTAAAAAAAGCAACCATTGATCTCTTGAGGTAACATCTTACAGGAATGTCCTGCATCTCTAAGAGATGCTTTCTTATTGTGTAATCTTTAGATTGTTTGTTGGCAGAAATTGCAAAATTTCTGTTTAGATCATATCTTGAGTAAAGTTTTATACACACACACACACACACACACACACAGTTATATATAAAAAAATTTTTTTTTCCTGAGACAGGGTTTCTCTGTGTAGCTTTGGTGCCTTTTCCTGGAACTCACTTTGTAGCCCAGACTGGCCTGGAACTCACAGAGATCCGCCTGCCTCTGCCTCCTGAGTGCTGGGATTAAAGGCGTGTGCCACCACTGCCTGGCCAAGTTATATTTTTATTTTAGGTAAATTTCATTTACTGTGAGCCATTATAAGGTGGTCTTCCAGACAAAACAATTTAACTTTACACCTGTATTTGTAATTTTCTTTTCTTTTCTTGGTTTTTCAAGACAGGGTTTCTCTGTGTAGCTTTTTGGAGCCTGTCCTGGATCTCACTCTGTGGATCAGGATGATCTTCCTGCCTCTGCCTACCAAGTGCTGGGATTAAAGGTGGGCGCCACTACCACCCAGCTGTATTTGTAATTTTTAACTTGTTTTTTTTGTTGTTTGTTTGTTTATTTGTTTAACCAGGGACTGAAGAAACCATATAATCCTATACTTGGTGAGACTTTCCGTTGTTTATGGATTCATCCCAGAACAAACAGCAAAACGTTCTATATTGCTGAACAGGTATGAGAAATGCTAACTTGGCACATCACTGTTGTTTAGCTTCTTCTTAGGGAAGGTTTGCTAAGCATTGATATTCTAGTACTGAATGCTACTCCATAACACACTGATGATCATTGTGTTGTGTGGCTGCAGTCAAGATGTCAGCCAGTTTATACTTATCCTTACTTTTGGCTGGTGTGGACGATTGCTCTCCATGATCACCCCCATGGCAGTTGTGAAGGGAATTTAGATTCTCAGCATGTGGCCCCTCTGTACAGTTTTTACAGCACAAAAACTTGTTATTCGGAACTTTGGGCGCTTATGTGGTGTGCATGCATGCGAGAGAGGGGTTGGGGTGGGGAGAGGGAGAGAGGGTATCCTGAAAGCCTCCCCCATGGAAGGCATATTATAATCTCAAGTTAGAAATGCTGTATTATCATTCCCACACAAACTGGTTGATTCACACCCTGCCTTGGAGTGTGAATGCCAGGAGGTGGATTTCCTTGGAGACAGAAATCTGGACTGCAGTCATTAACATTCATTGGTTGCTTACCAGCTGTTCCTTCTTACTCATTCTTAGATTTGAACTTTGGATGCTAGCATAATAGTAGGCTTATTTTGTTCAATGTCATGATCTTTCCTGTGTTCAATAGGTGTCCCATCACCCACCAATATCTGCCTTTTATGTTAGTAACCGGAAAGATGGATTTTGCCTCAGTGGTAGCATCCTGGCTAAGTCCAAGTTTTATGGTGAGTTTTTCCTTGTTCTAAACTGTGCTTTTCCAAAGTGTTTTCTGGTAAGTTTTTGTCATTTTGGCAAAGAATTCATGTCATTTAGGCATCATCTGTACTCCTGATTGCTGTTTAATCCTTGCACATTTTATCTGACCTCACCCATCCATGGAAAGCATCACTTACGGACGATGCAGTACGGCCTCCATCTCTCTCTCTATCTGACCCTCATCGCATGCATGGAAAGCATCACTTACGGATGACGCAGCAGGGCCTCTGTCTCTCTCGTGCATGCTGGTCTCTTTTCTCTTCACCCCATCAGTTGTTGAGTGTTGTTGCAGTCTACCTGGGGGGACTGATCTTTCTCTTTGAGTCTGAGTATCGAAAGAATCCAGTTGGGCCCTGGGTCATTCAATAATGGTCTTTAACCTCAGGCCAGATAACATACTATTGAAAATGTTTGTGAGTACAGGAAAGGAATGTAGAAAAATGTGCCGTTAGTGGGAAACCTTAATACAATGCCTTTGACAATTGAAAGGAAACATAGTCAAAACTGTATAGTGGTAGAATTTATCTTTAAATGCTGTTATTTGGCTTCCTAATTTTAAAGGTATTTAAAAACTCAGAGAATTAAATTCAACTAGAGAATTTTAAACCTGAGAGAAAATAAATATAAAGGTAAAATAGAAAAGATAAAATGTGTACACAGAAGTCTAAATTTTAATTCCATGAGAGGCCAGAGTCAGAAACTAGTCTGTGACAGGAAATGTAAAGTGTAACCGCTTTCCATCAGGAGCATGGCATATGCCTTTATGTTTGTTTGTTTGTCTGTTTCTTGATTTTTATTCTTGTATTTTTATTCTTGTGTACTGGTGCTCTGCCGTGTGTGTGTCCATGTGAGGGTATCAGATCTTAGAGGGTATCAGACAGTTGTGAGCTGCCATGTGGGTGTTAGGAATCGATCCTGGGTCCTCTGGAAGAGCAGTCAGTGCTCTCAACCTCTGAGCCATCTCTCCAGCCCTAATTTAATGTTGTTTTTTAAAAAAGTTATTTATTTCTATTTTATGTGTACTAGTGTTTGCCTGCATATCTGTGTGAGGGTGTCCGATCTTGGTGTTTTACAGACAGTTGTGAGCTGCCATGTGGGTGGTGGGAATTGAACCCGGGTCCTCTGGAAGAGTAGCCAGTGCTCTAGCCACTGAGCCATCTCTCCAGCTCCGCCTTTAGGTTTTTAAAGATGCTCCCCCTACTTACTTTTCTTTTGATTTGGGTTGGCTGTTTTTTCTTCAGAAGCTCCACATATTTTGTATTGATAATACCCCTCCCTCTGGCTTCAGTCCCTCCCCCACCCCAGCCACAGCGTAGGTGACTTGAGTGGGTGTCGTTCCATCCCTATAGACTGTAGACATTTTTTACTGAGCACCAGGTGCATGGTTTATGTTCAGGTGCAGCTTCTGCACTTTGCTTTCTTTTTTCTTATGTGTGAATATGACTTATGTGCGCCGGGGCTAGCTAGCTCTTTATAATGTGAACGAATCCAGAGTTCACAAAAAGAAAATTCTTACTTTTTCTTCGAGTAAAGACATCTGAGGAGATGACGTATAATTTATGAAGTAGCCTGTTAGCATATATCTCGTGATATCTCTCATGCTGGAATCTATACATGTTGATGTAGAGGCGGGGGAAAGTCATGGTTGTGCATAAATGTTTGCACATTTTATACAAATATCATGACATTATTTCTAATGGCTCATACTAACTCATAATGGTTCACCGGTAAACCGAACCTAACATCAATTCCTGTAGACCTCTTATAGCTATAGAATACTGATTATCAATTTCAAAAAAGTATGCTTGATGCAGTAGTCTAGACAAATCTGAAAAACATGTGCAAGGTGAAAATAAGCCAAATATAAATGACATATTTTAAAATACAATGATAGGAAATGTCAGTGTTTCCCTAGGGGTAATGGGGGCCTTTTAGGATGATGGTTTAGGCAGGTAGGCAAGCAGGGAGATAGACAGACAAGTGAACAGGGATCAAACCCCTGCCTTGTGCATGGCAGACAGGTGCTGCGTTACTGAACTGCATTCCCACCCCTCAGTCATTTGAGATGGTCTTTCTGTGCAGTTCAGGCTGATGCAGAGTTACTGAACTGCATTCCTACCCCTCAGTCATCTGAGATGGTCTTTCTGTGCAGTTCAGGCTGATGCAGAGTTACTGAACTGCATTCCCACCCCTCAGTCATTTGAGATGGTCTTTCTGTGCAGTTCAGGCTGATGCAGAAGCCCAACCCTGCTGTGCCCACTTCCCACATGTTGATGCAGGTATGTGCTACCAAGCCAGTTCTGTGGTGGAATTAGGAATCCTCTATGTGGTACCATATAATTATCACACTTAATGCTGGGAATAGGCTGTTTGTTGTATGTTAGTCATACTCCATTAAAGATGCAGTTGTTAAGGAAAAAAAGACAGAGACAAGCTAAAAGAAGTCACTGGCATTTTATCACCTGGATTACGCAGATTTTTAAATCATTAATAGGATTATTGAATCAATTATAAATATTTAAAACTTGAGACTTACCTATATGTGACCTAGAATTAATATTTTGATTCAGAAGAGTCAAACTAGATTGTATAATGAAGCAGTGTGGGGGACCAGCCCCCACATTTATTTACCCCAGGGACTCTTGAGGAATGAGGGATAAGAGACTTCAGTTAGAAATAGAGGGGAGAGAAACAGATAGAAAACACAGGATAGACTTTGGAGGGCCTGGATGCTTATCCACCGGCCCCGAACTTTATTCCAAAGGTCTATTTATAACACTAGTTACAGTCACCTGGTACCCAGGCCCGTGGACCGATCAACCTCTCATGAAGTCCTGCTGGGTACAGCTACTAGGAAACCTAGTGGGCTCCAACAAAGCAGTATTTTGTTGGCTGTTGGACATGTTGGGATTTTTTTCATTTGACTTTCCTAAACAAATACCTATGTATGCCTTTTGAAAAGACTCATAAGATTGGGAATATAAATGAAGTAATGTTTTAGTTATAAGGTGATGAATACGTGTTGTTACACATGAATCACGATTGAAGTGTTTTAAATATTTCTCCTGGAGAAATGTAAATGTCCCAAATATACTTTGTTTTGAATTGGTCATATTAGTTTTGTGAAATTTAATATTTTTTTTTTTTTAAGGAAACTCACTCTCCGCCATATTAGAGGGAGAAGCCCGGTTAACCTTCTTGAACCGAGGTGAAGATTATGTGATGACAATGCCGTACGCTCATTGTAAAGGTGAGTCTCCACTCCCAGCAGCTCTTCCTGGGTTTTTGGTTTTGTTTTGTTTTGGTTTTGGTTTTTGTAAATAAATGTATGTGAATAGAATTTGTTTCGTTTGACATGGTCAGACATATTTGTTTGAAATCCTTGGCCCATAGTTCCTTCAGACTATTGCTGTTTGCTGACTATTTCTATGGTGAATTACTTCACACATAATAGTCACACCTATTTTTGTGATACATACCTTGTAAGAAATTTAGTTATAATAATGGAATTTCCTTGCTTTTATCTTGTGTGAAAGTTTTGAAATTAAATCCAACTACTTATTTTAGAATCCTTAAAAGATACTTGACTTACTCTTGCATTTACACCCTCTATAATGTTTAATCTGCTATTTTTCTCTTTTTTAATAATTTATTTTTATTTTATGTTCATTGGTGTTTTGACTGTGTGTATGCCTGTGTGAGTGTCAGAAGCCCTGGAATTGTGGAGTTACAGACAAGTGTGAGCTGCCATGTGGGTGCTGGGAATTGAACCCGGGTCCCCCAGAAGAGCAGTCAGTGCTCTTAACCGCTGAGCCATCTCTCCAGCTCCATCTGCTATTTTTCAGGGCATCAAGTCCTTTCACTGTTTTTCTGGACTCTCATTTGACAGTCTCTCCATTTGGGTTTTGGTTTTGTTAATTTCTAACCTTGCAGTATAGCTCAAGCTGCCCTTGAACTCAGGATCCTCCTGCCTCAGTCTCCCTAGTGTTGAGATCACTGATATGTACTGGAACACCTAGCTCATATTTGGCAAAAAGCTAGATAGGGCTCTGAGCTTTGTATCTAGTTCTTAAAATAGGAATGACGTGCAATACCTACAATTTTAAATAAGAATCAGTTTTTAATCTTTTTATTGATTCTTTGTGGATTTCACGTCATACATCCTGACCCCACTCATCTCCCCGTCCCATTGCGTCCATCCTCTGTGCTTGCAACACCCCCAAACAAAATTTAAAAGTAAAAACAAAACAACACCAAACCCAGATAAAGAATCTCGTCCGGGGAGCTGCAGTGTGCTCAGGGAGTCGCACAGCTCACCCTTAGTCCATCCATCTTGACTTGTGTTGATGCTGTGAGGCAGTGGTCTGCTTTGAGGCCTCTGGATCTGCTGCACCCTTGATCCTGGGCCCTCACGGGGAATCCTCTTGAGTGTCCTGTTGTTGCCTGTGCCATGGAGATCCTGCAGCTTTGGATCTGCAGGACCAGCACCTTCACATGCTCCAGCAGCTCATAGATGAGGTGGGGCTTGGGGTGGGCTACCTTAGCACAGCTCTAGTGTGCTACCCAGGCGACGTGCCATGCCCACTCTCGTGTGCTGCGGATGGTGAGGGGCAGGACCGGCTCTCCCACTCTTGTGACCCAGGGACCAGCTTTTTCTGCCTGCAGTAGGTGTGAGGGGTGGAGAAGGTCTCTCCCTCGCCCACACCACCCCATGACAGGCTGTGGGGCCAGCTCTCCACTCTTTTGTCTTCAGGCCGGCTCACTCGAAATGCTACCATTGGGACAGCTCTGCTGTGCTGCCCTGGGGAGGTGTAGGGCCTGCTCCCCAGAGGGATGCAGGCGGTGAGCGGCAATATTTTTAAATTTCATATCATTATTACATCAGTGCCCAACTAGCAGTGAGGAATTTTTTTCCACAGTAGTGTATTTCCCACTGTGTTAAAATAGGAAATTTTTTAAAGTAAGAGTTTCTATGTATTTTCTATATTGCTAAGTTCCATGAATTATTTTATAAAGTAGGAGTTCCATAGCCAAATAATTATGAGAAACATTTCATAGTCTGTTTCCTTGCAGAAGTTAACATTGTGTGTTTATTAAAGGCCAACTCAGTTGCCTAATTCAATGAAACGTGCACTTGAACAAACCTGTTCAAGTTTCTTTAACTTAGAATGTGTTTTGAACACAGAACCTGTTTTTGAGGTTGTTTTTTCTTTGTTTGTTTGTTTGTTTGTTTTCGCTTACCTGGAGTTGGTCCTTGTTATTTGTAGTAATTACATTGTATAAAGTGACAACAGACACTGAATTGGCTCATACTGAACTGTGCTTTCAAGGGAAGGTAATGAGGCTACATTATTTTCAGTCTCTTACTACAGTGTTCCCACCAACTAAGGGGCACATGACCTTGTACTGTGTGTGCTCACATGGAAAGACACTGAACAGTCGTGGTGGGTTACTGACTGACTGCCAGTGAACTGTCATGAACACTGTCCCTCAGCTGAAGGAAGCGTTAGCATGGGTTCCTGTGCAAGGTCCAGCATAGCTTTACACTTCAGAACACTGTACCACAGCACCTCAGTGTGCCCTGGGTCGGCTTCCAACAGCGAAAGCACCAACCAAAAAGCACAAAGGTACAAAACACATAAACAAAATATCCTGCCGAAGGAGGACTGTGTTTTTCGGACTCATCTCATTGGCCCGCCTCTGCGCTTTAAATAGAGTGGAAACTTGCCAGCAAGCATGATGTGAATATGCTCTGTAGGTCCTATAACACTTTGTCTATATTACATGTGTTCCGTTGATGAGGCGGGAGGCCTCAGATGCAGGTTTCTCCTGGTATATCAGATTGCAGAGCGCTGCTTATTTCTGTCCCCGGACCCCTGTCCTCAGCTTTTGTCAAGTTTCTCTTTTCTTTAGGTATTCTCTATGGCACAATGACACTGGAGCTTGGGGGAACTGTCAACATCACCTGTCAGAAGACTGGATACAGTGCAGTACTTGAATTTAAGCTAAAGGTTGGTAAATGATGGTGTCACCTAATTAAGGGGAAGCTGCGTTGCAAATACTGAAGAAAAAATAGAGATTAGTTGCAGAGTAAGAACTAAATATAAAAACATGGATTATGCCAGGTCAAAGAGAAATGGGTCCAGGGACATTCTCTGAGTGTCTTGGGACAGCCTGAGACAGCCTTGGAAGATACAAATTAACATGAGAGCCACCATTCCTTATTTGAAATGTTAATGATAAAACTTGATGCTATAGAGCAAATAAGACTTAAGAAATGATTGAAGTATCTCTGTGAATTAAAACAGTGCTTTAGAAAACCCCAGAAGGTAGATCTGAATTGAGAGACTCGGGTTGCATACAGTAAGACAATTTCATATTAGTTACTATTTCTGTATAAAAAAAATTGTTTTAGCTCACATGCTTAAGAATAACCATGTGCTACTCCTCATCAGATTTTCAAAAAAATTATATGGGGAATATTGGAGATGGTTTTTCTCTTTAAAAATGTTGGACGTCAGGAAATCTTGGAAAATATGAGTGATTTAGTTGAGACCAGAATCCACTAAAGACTTGCCCACTTATGCGTCTGATGCCTGAAGGCCGGGACTGTTGTTACTGTGAGGACCTGTTGATGTGGCCTTTCCATGGGACTTGGCTTCTTGATAGCACGACAGCTCTAAGGCAGCTGGAGGTCGTCTTTAGCGGCACGCTGAGGATTCAGTTGTCTCCCATCATCACTGGTCTAGAAGCCAAATTACATGCACATCCTCTGTCTTCATTGAAGAGCTACACACCCACTCAGGCTCGGGAGGAGGGCGGTGACGCACTCTCGGTGGGAGGCTGGCAGAGGTCTCCTTGAAGAAGAGCTTGGGGGCTGGAGAGGAAGTGAGTAGGTATCAAGAGAGCCATCTTTGGAAAATTCTGTCTGCCTCAACAAAAGGGAAACTGGAAGCCTTGTCACAGTGTCAGTTATCATTTAGTACGCTGTGTTCAGATAAAAATAGGCACTATAACAATAGGTGTTGCTAATTACTTCCTTGTTGATATGCCAGTGACCAGAATCTCTTTCTAGTGAAAAGGCGTTCTTGAGTATTATCTGATGCTGTTGTGCCCTTTACTTGATAAGAGGGGTCTTCAGCAGTTACTCATGTCATTCAGTACCAAAGCATCAAAACTGTGTCTCTAAGGAAAGACATTAGTAAGACAGTGTAGGGACCCAAGTGTATTATTCCTTGTGATTTTAGTTTTTGAAGGATTGTTTTCAAATTTTTAAATCCCCTCTGTTTTCTGAGTTCTTTTTCTTGGTGTGTCGCCACATTGATGGGGCTCAGTCCTGAAGAACAGCACTGAGATTGCAAAGGTCATAGGTCTTTATACCTGGGTCATCTTTCTGAATTATTTAGATTTCATAGTCTGTTTTAGATATATTTTTCAGTCACAATTCAAATTAAATTTTTTTAAAAGTCTCTAATTTAAATTTGAGTCAGGATTTCACTGTTTTTACTTTCAAGAATATGGTAACTATTTAATTCTTTTTTCTTTGATGTTTGGTTATCTATAATATATGCAAATATAAACTAAAATGCTCAATATTTTCTGTTTTAAAGCCATTTCTAGGAAGTAGTGATTATGTGAACCAAATATCAGGGAAACTTAAATTGGGAAAAGAAGTCCTAGCTACTTTGGAAGGCCATTGGGTAAGTACTTTTATATATTAGCATTGCAAAAATAATTTTATCTGATGGAGAAAATGGACAATTATATTGTAAAAGTATCACTAAATAAACTTCATCTTAAAAGTAGATATTTTGGGGGCTGGAGAGATGGGTCAGCGGTTAAGAGCACTGGCTGCTCTTCCAGAGGTCCTGAGTTCAGTTCCCAGCAACCACATGGTGACTCACAGCCATCTGTAATGAGATCTGGCGCCCTCTTCTGGCCTGCAGTCATACATGCAGACAGAACACTGTATGTGTAATAAATAAATAAATGTTTTTTTAAAAAGCGGGTATTTTGGTATTGCTCTGCTGCCAGTGACACTTTGTTTTATAAATGTTTTATGTTTGTAAGACATTTAAATGAGTAGAAGTCGTATAGTACTCGCTGTGTACGTTATTAAGAAGGTAGCCCGTATTTATCATTTACTACTTAGTTGGACTTGATGAAATCGGTACGTAGTTACCCATTTTTCATCGTATATGTTTATTTAATCTGTGTGTGTGCATGTGCCATGGCACACGTGTGGAAGACAGAGGACAGCGTACTGGAGCCAGTGCTCCCGTCCTACCGTGAGGGTTCCAGGAGTCAGGCGCAGGCCGTCAGAGTTGGCAGCAGGCACGCACCTTAGCTAGCCATGCTGTCTGGCCGACACGTGCGTAAGATGTGCCCATTTGAAAAGGAGGGAGCCAACGGCCGGAGCGTCTGCATAGTTGGCAGTGAGCCCCGGGCCGGCTGCGCAGAGCTCTGCTGGTCCAGTGAGAGTCGGGTTTCTGTTGGAGGAAGGGGGAGGTGCAGTGGTGTGTAACAGCAGTGGCTTTGACCTCATCTCTGCCACCCAGACTCACACCTGTGTACGTTCTTACCAGGAGCTTACGTGACTGAAGCGGAGTATGGTGTATTTCTTAGGTGCATTTTCACTATAAACACTGAGTATGTGCTATTCTACATATAGTAAGCAAATACAGGAAGAAAAGGCTATAAACACTGAGTATGTGCTATTCTGCAAATAGTAAGCAAATGCAGGAAGAAAAGGAAGCCAGGTTTAGAGACTCAGCCAGTGGCTACAGAGGTTCTGCAAAATGTTTTTTAAATTTGTGTGAGTGTGTTGTGTGTGTGAGTGGTGTGTGTGAGAGAGGTGTGTGTGAGAGAGAGGGGTGTGTGTGTGTGTGTGTGTGTTGTGTGTGTGTTGTGTGTGTGTGTTTCTCTCCTTTCACTGTGTGGGTCTCAGGAGTAGGTCATCAGCGTGGTGGCAATTACTTTACCCATAGAGTCCTCTCCCTGGACCCTGAAAGATGTTGTCTTCCTATCTGAATATTATTTGGAACAATGATAAAGCCATCTTTGTCATTTTATTTTATTTTGACACAGGGTCTCTTATGTTGCAGCCCTGGCTGGCCTCGAACTCACAGAGATCTATCTGCCTCTGCCTCCTGGGTGCTGAGATAAAAGGCATGTGCCACCATACCTGGAAAAACAGGTGTTCTAAAAACATCAAATGTCTAAGGTTGAGCTCAATTTTTGATGCTTAGTCTCCGAAGTTTTCCAGGGATTTGATTTTCTGCATTGTCCACAGCATCACACCATGTTCTTCTGCGACAGTCCAGACAGGAGGCTTGAGACTTTGCCCGTCATGTTTGAAATTTGTTAAATGAAACTTCTAAAACCTCATGAGCTCTCTGTGTAGTCAGCCGGTTTTTCTAGTTGATTGGAATGACATATTTAAACTACTGTTTTCATACAAACGGAAAGAATTTGGGACTTTGAGAAATGCACTAGTTACATTTGTTTTAAAATATTTTTCAAATTTAACAGCAGGAAGAATTTATTAGTGTATTGCTATACTTTGTAGTCCTCTTCTAAATAGAAATAACTATTGGTGTTTAATTACTTCCAATATAGGATAGTGAAGTTTTCATTAATGACAAAAAGACTGATAACTCAGAGATTTTCTGGAATCCGACACCTGACATTAAGCAGTGGCGATTAATAAGGCACACGGTCAAATTTGAAGAGCAGGATGATTTTGAATCAGAGAAGTAAGTCTACCTTTTTTTTTTGTTAGCTAACCTTATGAACATTAAGGAGTATTTCAAATTGCATAATAGTGTAGTCACACTATTCTCTATCTGCTGTTGAGATAATTCAGCAAGAGAGTTTGTCATTCGTGAGATTGAGGGCATTCTGTGTTGGTGTAGATGGCATAAAGACTTCATAAATCATCTTGCTTCTCTGTGGCTCAAAACTAAAATGTCCTGTTTTTTCTCTCGTCTACTCCAGTGCTCTATATTTCTGTTTGCATAAAGTTATAGAACAATTCATGTTCTCAGTTTCTCCCTGGCATCTGCTTTCTGGTCTGGTATACACTGTGGAAAGGTGACATGGATAGAAAACAGCTACTCTTGTTCTGTCCTCTTGAGACAAGAATAGTGCCACTCGATGCCCTAGGTTCCAAGGACTTAAATTAGTAAGCAGTGCCATGGTTAATGCCATTGCTTCGTTTTAAGTCATGAAACTCTTTGCAGAACTCCTAACACTTTTGGATAAACTTGCTGTTTGTATCTCTTTGTGTCAAAGAGTCCTGTATAAACATTGCTTACTCTGCACTTGATACCTGGGGGTCCTTACTCTGTGGTCCTGCTTCTGTGAATCAAGTCTACATGACTGTATTTTCTACCTAAAATACAGTTGTCAGCATTGGAAAATATGTATGCATCAATTTTTAAAGTCCTATTTCAGGTGTAACCACATGATGCTCCCTGTCCAAAGGGATATGCAGCCATTTTTGATGTGTGTATATAAGTGAACATTTTTTATTTTTTAATATGGAGTTTCATGCAGAGCAAAGTGGCCCTGAATTTGCTGTATAGCTGAGATTGACCTTAAACTATTATTACTGACCCTCTCGCCTCTACTTCCCAGTACTGGGACCATAGGCCTCCTCTACCCAGTCCAGCTCTACATATTTTAAGGACGAGATGATAAGACTTAGCTGACTCTAAGTGGAAGACATAGAAAATTAACCTATGTATAACAAATTTCAAGGCCTGTTTCAGTTCTGACATGTTGCCCTCTCAGATGGATGAGATACAGATGTTGTACTCTCATTTAGCTGGTGAAAAAGCTAAATTTTAAAAGGGGAAATAATTTTTCTCATGCTGTTTTTTGGTACATCAGTGGTTCTTAACAGTATTGGTGTATTTAAATCTAGGAAGCATTTAGAGTCTGTTCCTATTCCTAGAGACTGAATTTCAAAGTTCTCTGATAATTCATGCAGCCAACCTCTCGGGTGGATCATCCTGAGGCCTGAGCTTCCTAAGTAGTGTGCGTCAGAATCATCTAAAGAGCTATTTAAAAATGTAGAATACCTTGAGGACTTCTTCACTATAGTCCTGTCAGCCTCAGTCAGCAGTTTTCACTGTGTTTAAGAACCCATGGAATTGATTTCTCTTGCCAAGAAGAAATTAGCCCTCACTTAGTGGTGGTTGCCGGTTCGAGGCATTGGGCTTTGTTTCTTGACTCATTTCTAAGCATATGAGCGTAAGCACGGTCAAAGTAGACATCCACGTGAGCAGTGTTTGCTCCCAACAGAGACTAAAATCTGTAGAGATCTGATTGTCTGAAATATTATTATTACATGTCTATTAGACTCTGGCAGCGAGTAACAAGAGCTATAAATGCCAAAGACCAGACAGAAGCTACTCAAGAAAAGTATGTTTTGGAAGAAGCTCAAAGACAAGCTGCCAGAGATCGGAAAACAAAAAATGAAGAGTGGGCTTGTAAGTTATTTGAACTTGATCCACTCACAGGAGAATGGCACTATAAGTTTTCAGAGTAAGTAATGTAAACATTTATTTCAAAAATCTATTAGCATAATTTATTGCCTTTATATTTCGAGTATATTTATTATCAACATAGGAATTAGGGTGAACTTTTATTTTACAGACTATTAAAATTTATGTGTGTGTGTATGCCAGCTTTTTTGAGTTTATGAATACCATGTGGGTGTAGGAACCCATGAAAGTCAGAAGAGGGTGTCAGGCCCTGGAACTGGAGAAATGGATGGTTGTGATCCACTGTGTGGGTGTTGGGACCCGAACTCTGGTTCTCTGCAAGAGCAGTAGGTGCTCTTAACCACTAAGCAACCTCTTTAGCCCATAGTGAAAAAATTTTATTTTTATTCATTCTTTTATTTATTTATTTGAGACAGGGTCTCACTATGTAGCTCTGGCTGTCCTGGAACTTGCTATAGAGACCAGGCTGGCCTCGACCTCTGCCCAGTGCTGAGATTAAAGGCGGGCACCATTATGCCTGGCTTCATAATGTGAAATTATTTACTTTACATTCTATTATAGTAGTTCGTTTTCCAAATAAGCTAAGAATTGAAAGATTACATATAGACAAATCTTAAGATTAGAACAGCCTTTATAATTACTTAATAAAATTAAGTTCTGTAGCTATTTAAATATTTTTTTTCTATTTAGTACCCGACCATGGGACCCACTTAATGATATGATACAATTTGAAAAGGATGGTGTTATCCAGACCAAAGTGAAACATCGCACTCCAATGGTATGTAACATAAAAGTAGGTAGGTCTAATGGGCTTATAAATTTCCTATATCTTTTTTTCTTTCCTTTTTGCTTTTTTGTTTTGTTTTTTATTTGTTTGTTTGTTTGTTTGATTTCGTTTGGTTTTTCGAGACACGGTTTCTCTCTGTAGCTTTGGAGCCTGTCCTAGAACTTACTCTGTAGACCAGGCTGGCCTCAAACTCACAGAGATCCGCCTGCCTCTGCCTCCCAAGTGCTGGGATTAAAGGTGTGGGCGGTGGCCACCGCCACCGCCGCCGCCACCACCTGCCTCAAATTTGCTAAATCTTTAGTATCATGACAATTGCATCTAAAATTTAAAAATTTATGTTAGTAAAGTGACATCACAGGCAGCTTCAAGCTCTTGACACCCCAAACACCGCCCCCAAAAGAGCAGAATCTACCAGAACTCTCCAAATATTCAAACATTTGCAGCAATTAAGGGAATGAAGGACCAGAAGGGGCTTCCAAGCGGCAGGAAGACATCATCATAGTATTGTAGAAGTCCTTGCCTCACCTCTTCCTGGGCACAGCTGCAGTCTTGTGAGGTCTGTGTTCCAGTGTAAGCCCCTGATGCCAGAAGGAACAGCAGACCTCACACGCACTCAAACGTGCTCACACACATGCACAAGCGAGGGCACACACGCAGGCAAGTGCACACCCCACCTCTGGGGTACCTCGAGGGCACGTGTGGAGGCACTCATTTCTGACACTGTCAGCAACAAGAAATTATACAAAACATGAGAGCTGAAAAGTGCAGAAATGGGAAGGTTGTGCTAGAGATCTAACAACAGATTTAAGTCGGTACAAGGCAGAGTCAGTTACGTAAGAGATAAAACTATTCACATTATCTGGTGTGAGAAAGAGAGGGACAAATGGATGAGAAGTAAACAGACCCTTAGAGACCCACAGGAGCACCCTCTGCTGGGTCGTATGAATTATGGAGTCCACATGATCAGGGCCAGAAATGCATGAAACATGCTTAATTAAAGGCTCCAGATGCCAGACTACACTGATGAATGACTCTGGCAGCATTGGGGCTATAAAATGGACACACAAATAACATTTGTGTTTCTATATAGTGAGGAATTGCAAAAGGAAATTAAGAAAGCAGTTCAGTTTATAGTAGCATTCAGAAGAGTAAAATCCCAACAGTAAATGAAACCTAAGATGTGGAAGGCTTGAACAGTGAAAACTGTAAAGCATTGCTAAAGAATTTCAGTAAGACATGAATAAGTGAAAAGAGTGCCTATTTTCTTAGGCTAGAAGAGTTCATGTTGGTACCCCAAAATAGTGCTACCTCAAAACAGTCTGTAGAAGTGGAAGAGCTGATCCTCAAATTCATATGGAATTGTGAGGGTCTCTGCATAGATAAAATAATCTCTTTTTTTGTTTGTTTTAGAGCAAAGTCGTAAGACATATTTTCCATCCCACACAGTAATCAAAGCAGTCATTTTGATATAAAGACAGGCTTCGTATATAGGCCAGTGGCATAAAATAAGTCCAGTTTAAACCCATAAAAGTTACATGTGAGGGGCTGGACAGATGGCTCAGGAGTTAAGAACATTTGCTGTTTTCCCAGAAGACCTGGGTTCCATTCCAAGCACCAACATGGCTGCTCCAGCCATCTATAGTTCTAGTTCCAGGGCTCTGCACTCTGTTCTGGCTGCCTCAGATAGTGCATGTATGTGTGGAGACACCCTCAAGTAAACACGTATACACATAAAAGAAGTGTTCAAGGAAGGTTTGAAAATTATTTTAGATAATTATTTCTCCTACTCCTTGGAAAAATACTAACTAGTCTCTTGAACAAATGGTACTGAGCCATAGCCACCTGACTTCTACTGTACAAAAAGTAACTTAGAGCCGGGCGGTGGTGGCGCACGCCTTTAATCCCAGCACTCGGGAGGCAGAGGCAGGCGGATCTCTGTGAGTTCGAGGCCAGCCTGGTCTCCAAAGCGAGTTCCAGGAAATGCGCAAAGCTACACAGAGAAACCCTGTCTCGAAAAACAAACAAACAAAAAGTAACTTAGAATGGATCTATATATAAAATGAGAGGTAAGACTATAAAATTCTTAGAAAACAGTGTAAGTCATCATGACCTTGTCTTTGGAAATAAGACACTGAAAGCACTAATAGCAGCAGCAACCAGAAAGCTGAACTATGGGCGATCGAGAGCTGGCTCAGCAGTTAAAAACACTTGCTGCTCTTGTAGAGGACCTGGGGTTGTTTCCAGCACCAGCTCTCAGTTGTCCGTAACTCCCACTTCAGGGGCTCTCATGCCCCCATGTGGCCTCTGCCAGCACCAGGCACACGTGTGGTCCATATGTAGTTTCAGGAAAGCACCCACGCACAAACAAGTAAGTGATCCCACTTAAACATTTTTAAACATCAGATGATGCCATGAAGAAGGCAAAAAGACAAGTTACAGAATGAAAGAAACTATTTGCTAATCATTTATCTAACAGCATTTAAATATTCAAAATATTTAAAGAATCCCTGATTTAATGAAAGACATCCTGGTTTTTTTTTTTTTTAAAAAAAAAGGCAAATGACTAGATTAAACATTTCTCCAAAGAAGATACACAAATGGCTAAAACCACATAAAAATGTTAATATTAGTATATGAACTGCAACTCAAAATCACAATTAGTTTGTCTCTTCCCACTTAATTTGTGATTAAAAAATTAAAATAGAAAATAAAGTGTTGGTGAAGATTCGGGGAAACCAGAGCCCAGCACGTTGTTGATGGGAATGTAAAACTTTGCAGCTGAGGGAAAACACGGTTTAGAAGGTCCGAAGAGAGTATGGAATACCAAATGACCACGTGACCCAGCTCTTCTGCTCCAAAAGAGTTGAAAATCAGAAGTGGGAATACGATGGGACCATATTCATTGCAGGCTATTCACAGTGGCCGGGAGAGAGCAGCAGGGCAGGATCCTTTGGCGGATAGGTGCATAAACAAGGCAGTCTGTCCGTAGAAGGGGATGTTCATCAAATAAACATGCTATAGAATACTCCGCTCCATGCTACGACATGGACAGACTCGGAAGGACAAATGTTCTACAGTTTCCGAGTAGGCAAATTCCCGGAGTCCGAAAGTAGTGACCTGAGGAAGAAGAGGGCGAGCAGTTACAGAATCTTGAAGATAGCTATGGTCAACATTGAGATGATTACTGCTAGCAGGTTGTATGTAGTAGTTTTAAAATGGCAAAACTCTATCATATATACATGCTATCACAATTTTAAATTGCAAAACTTTTGTTTGGATTTATTTTTTTTTAGACAGGGTCTCACTATGTAGTCCTGGTTAGCCTGGATCTCACTGTCTAGACCATGCTGTTCTCAAACGCAGAAACTCACCTGCCCCTGCCTCTGCTGAGATTGGGGTGTAAAATGTTTTTAAATTATGTCCCACTGGTATGGTGGAGACACATGAGACGTGCACTTCCTTCTAAATAGACTACAGATCACAGTGAGTCTTCATACATCTGTATGTATGAAGTCTGTATACCGGTCAGGAATGGGAGGGAAATTACTTCATACATTTCTTCTTTCTAATCTTTGTGCCCAGTTGAAATCCACTAAGACAGTGGAATGCTAAGTGCAGTGTGTCTTACTTGTTAAATTTCGTTGGATTGTGCTTTGATTCCCAAGCATCACATCCATCAGTGGTTTTGACAGTTGTACAGGTGGTTTTGTTACAGGATATGGTGCAAACTCACCTAATAGTAATAAGATTTATTTCAGGTTAGTGTTCCAAAAATGAAGCATAAACCAACAAGGCAACAGAAGAAAGTGGCGAAAGGCTATTCTTCCCCAGAGCCCGACCTCCAGGACTCATCCGGAAGTGAAGGTAAAGAATTTATCACAGACTATTGACTGTGAGCACATTTTAGAGAAATCTTTTACTGTGCTGGTAGGTGTATGTAAGTGGTTCTCAAATTAGCTCAAGAATGTGAGCGTTTGTATGGAGACAGGAGGCGGGTGTGATGCTGTTTCTGACTAAACGAGCTGACTCTGAGATAACGGCATGGGAATGAAGAAGGGCGGGATGCAGAGAAAAAAAAACAAAACAAAACGCTACAGTAGCAACCCTTTGGCTTTTCCGTGAAAACCTGTTGATTAAATTTAAAAAGCAGATTTGAAGTTTTGAGTCAGTTCATGTTTCAAAAGAGTTTCTCGTTCCTGAATTAACTAGTAGTGTTGGAAGATGCAGACAAGTGAGAATATAAATGTGTAAACTCATAGACTGCTAGATTAAATAGTGTCTTCACCAAGTCAGATACTGTGTGGACTGTCTCAGACTATATTGAGATACAATTAAGAAGGGATTAAGGTAACGTCTTAGACATTGTAGGAAACTGAAAAAGTAATTTTTAAAAATCTGCTTAAACGCAGTGTCTGAGTTTACACTAAACTAGGGAGCCTAATTTACCTACAGAGGCAACACTAGAGTAATACATAGTAAACATAAGGACATAGATGATAAGTGATGGCGGGCTTAACAGAAAGGGGCGCAGTCTGGCTTGGGGAAGGTTCTTGGACCATCCCTGATGAGTTACTAGGCTGTCCAGTGACAGCTCCCCCAGGCCTGGGACATACCTGGGATAGCATCCTGAACTAAGCTGGCAGTCAGGGATGTGGGTGATAGCGGAAAGAGAATGCTGCAGTGTTAGTCATTTTACAACAGAGGAGACCAACAGCAACTCTGAACCTCGGGACTCAGTAGCCTGCACAAGGTCACAGAGCTCGCCGATGGGTATGTGGAATGGTACCTCGTGTAGAGATAGTTTTAGTTCTTTCATTGGCTTTTCTTTTCAATACCACTGTATTTCCTGTAATGTGTCTGCCGCTGCTTTATTGACCACTTGCTACCTTCCAGCTGTGTGGACTTGGGGCAGTCCTATTAACCTTAGCTGAAAAAGAGAGACCTGGAGGGAGATGTGAGCACAGCCGGAAAGGGATGAAGTTAACGGTAGCTGAGCTCTTCAGAGCTGTGCCAGCGGCTGGGGGTGGGGGCGAAGAGATTAATACGGATTTTAAATGAATTCTTTTTGCCTGTTTTAATGAATTTAAAAAATAAAACTGATTCCACAAGTAATTTGTAACCACTCTATGCAGTTTTCCAGTTTGGGTTTGATATGTTTGAGACTTGAAAAATGCAGAATATTTATCTTGTTAATCTGTAGGCCATTCAAACCAATGTGTAGAAAAATGTTTATTATACAAGTCATTAAATTCAACTATAGATTGTGACTACAACTTCCTTCTAAATGTCTTTTAGCTCAATCTGTTAAACCGAGTACACGAAGAAAGAAGGGGATAGACCTGGGGGACATTCAGAGTTCCATTGAATCTATAAAACAAACCCAGGAAGAAATTAAAAGGTAATAGATTCTGACAGAGCCCGTTGTTTGTGCCCAGAGGAGTAAAGACACCGTGAAGGGAAAACATGCCGACTTTCCATTCTGTGACACTGCTAAGGTTTAAAAACAGAGCCCTGGCCCCTGGTGCCTGAAGTCTGAAGCTTACAAATTCCTCCCACACTGAACTCCAGGGGAGATGGAGCTGTGAGCCCCCCCACCCCCACCCCCGGGTAAAATGTTTCACTGCTAAGGAATGTAGCTGTGTTGGGTGTGGAGGTAGGGTTGTTTCTGAGAAAGCTGACAGACTTGCTTGTTCCTGTGGTTCTGTGGTTCCCCTTTGTGTATGGCTAATGTGTACTTGTAATGTATCACTGTGTGAGCACACACACACACACACACACACACACACACACACACACACACACACACACACCCCACTCTATGATCTAGCACCTAGCAGTTATTAACACTTAACAGAGGGTCCTAGAGGAAAGGTGTTTCTGTTCCTGTTTCATTACGGAGACTAGCTACATGAGCTTTAAAAGTGTTTACTATTAAGCCTTCCTGCTTTTTATGCATGCGTCACTCAGCATTGGATGTAAGTTCAGGGTAATTAAATATGAACAGTCTTTCTCTGTTCTTGGAGCTGCAGTTTTATCTTCAGCCTCTTTGCTGTTCCCTGGACCTGTCCTGTCCCGTGCTTCTGTCCTATGAAGCTTCTCATGTCTTCCATGCCGTGTGTGCACGCTCATGTTTGGACCATTGCCCATACTGCAATTTGCTTCTCAGATTGCCCTTCTTTCCTTTATTCATCAAGAAAAACTCTGGCCAACACCTGTGATGGTGCACACTCAGTCCCAGCACTCAGGGCAGAGACAGGCCAGCATGTGTGATGGTGTGCACACTCAGTCACAGCACTCAGGGCAGAGACAGGCAAATCTCTCGCCTGCTCTAGGTAGAGCATTGCAGGGGGTTGAGATGGGAGGGAGGCACACTGTCTCAAAAACAGAGAGACAGAAAAGAACATTTCTGCATACCCATTAGGTTGCTTTCACATGTCACCTTCTTGCAGCCCCGTGACCATTTACCCTGCCCTCCTCTACAGGAGCTGGCCGGACTTTCCCTCGGCCTCCTTTGGAGCACCCTGCAGAGTTGCTCTTAGGTGTGCTGTTGGCCCCTCTGGACTGTTAGCTCCCTCAGAGCAGACAGCATGACCTCTTGGGTATCATCAGACCTTAATCAGGCCTTAAATTGGTGTCCACATTATATAATTTAATTTCATTATATGTGTAAACCTATTTGGTTGTGTTTGCCGCCTTTTTTTCATAGCACAATTCCAAAAAAAAATGTAATGGTGATTGACTCATGAGTTGCTTTTAGCCAAAAACATTTAAGATGTCATGAAGAGACTATATTTTATGACTAAATTCACATTTTTTTTTTTTGTAGCAGAAGAAAGCTATTGAGTATTCTTCAATTTGAGGTTGTTAGGAATTCTGTTGCATTTTTTCCTTTTGGAATTTTTCCTCCACTCATGTCTCTCAATTAAAGATAAAAGAAACTTAGTCAATTAAAAAGCAAATTACCTTTCTTAAAACTACTGTAATAACAGAGATGATAATATATTTTTGTATTAATCTGTGATGATTCTCTTTAATATGTCATAAAGTAAATACAGTGTACGTAAAAGCACATTAGCCTGAATTCTGGCATCTCAGTTCTTGGTTAGAGTTGTAATTGATTGAACTAGTTACTTTGTGACATTATAATAATTGTAACAATGATGTTTTGTACTAACACTTCTGAAAAATAATTATCAAATTTATTGTTTATTTTGTAGAAACATTATGGCTCTTCGAAATCATTTACTTTCGAGTACACCGGCTACAGATTATTTTCTGCAACAGAAAGACTACTTCGTCATTTTCCTTCTGATTTTGCTTCAAGTCATAATAAACTTCATGTTTAAGTAGTCGTTCTCAACAGTTGGTCACTGAACTGGAAAGATCAGATTTGGCCTGGGACCAGTGTTCAAATTGGTTTGCTCTTTAGTAAAGCATCACAATCTTTCTAAATCCAACAAACAAAACTAGGAGATAAATGTAGAAGTGTCTGCTACTTTTCACATCTCTGTCCTTAAGCAGAAACAAGAGCTGTTCTGTTTGGTTGTTAAAATTGGCTATGTGTTAAGTGCCAGAACACTTGTGTGAGACTGTGCCTACATGTGAGTATAGTAAATCCACATGTGTACACAAGAACTCTTACCTGACAGTAGTTTCTGTGTGCTACCGTATGTTAGGAGATATTCTGATACCATTGTTCATAACAGAAATGCCATCAATCTTATAAATATATGTATAGTCAACTATTTTCTTCAGAAGACTGGCATACAACCTTTATTAAGGAATTACAGTGGGGAAATGATAGATAATAGATATATTATGACTAAGTCAATACATTATACTGTTAAAACCATCTCCAAGGTATCTAGCTCAGTTGTCTTAGAAACACCAAGAAAAAAGTGTGAGTGGTCAGAATTAATATATTGTGAGGAATAAGTAGAAAGTTTTTAAGAGTTTACACAAGATTTTCTAATCTCTAGAACTTAATGTTACACATGTAGGTATATCCGTAGTTATATATATATATAATCTATCAATATTAAAGACTGGTCTGTAGCTACATGGAGCTGTGTGTTACAGTCCCACCTTAAGTACTTGCTGACAAATGGTCAAGTTTGTTTGCCATCCTTTCCTGGTTTTATTAAGTCAGCTAGTCTAGGACATCATCCAGATGTTGTCCAGATGTTAGTGTTTATAGGGTATGTGAAATCCTGATCATTTGGTGTTTCTTTATGGAAAACATTTTAGCATTCATTTTGACACTGGAGTGCTCAGTGAGTAAATAGAAGAGAAAAATTCTAATATTTTACTTTAGAAGCAAAAAAAAAAAAAAAAGGCAGTAAGAAAAGACACTGCAGTGGCCTTTATTTTAAGAACATTAAAATCAACTTGCTTAAATGTGCAATAAGTTGAGCATTTGAGAATATGAAGTTAGGAAGTTTATCATCTCCTTCCATCGTCCTGTTTCCAGCCACAGTTCTGTACAAGCCCTTTTGTCCAGGCTCAGGCAGGTTTTGTTACTAAAGGTTTTTGCCTATTTCTTCAGTTTAATATTTTGACTCTTTATTATTGTCAAAAAAACCCCCACTTCTTTAAAAGGTTAATTAAGTTTTGGGACATGTCATAAAATTTAGATTCCTCCAAACTACAGGTTACAGAAAGTTTATACAGTGAAAAATTCAGAAAGAGCTGTTGGTCTGGCTCCACCTGCCCTCAGCTAGGGAGAGGTTGAGGTGCAAGTCAGTCCACTGAGATGGGGCTGCAGTCAGCTCTGTGTGAGGACTGCGAAGCCAAGAGATGACTGCTTCATTGCTGCAGCTGCTTATAACTATCTCCTGTACCTTCGGGTCCCACGAAAAGCCATTTCCCACACAGTCGGTGTTAGCAAAACAGTGCTGTACTTCATAGGAAAATATTTTAAACTTTTAACAGCGTAAGCAAGGTGTACCTGTCTCCAGTATTTCATTATTATGGAGTTTGGGGTTATATTTCATATTTGTCAATATATTTTTTGTATTTCATATTCTACTACCAATATTTTGCTCAACTGCCTGTTCATTGATGTGATATTTTGTAAATATTGTACAACTTGATCTTTATATGATTTTAAATTAGTATTAATTTATATTATATATAACTTAATTGGTTGATCACTAAAAGTTGTTTCATCGTTAAACCCTGAGATGTTCAATTGTTGGTGACCTGCCTTAGGGCTCTGTCTTACTCCTTTGTATTGTCATATGTGGTCTGAACAGTGCTTTATTTGTATTGGCATCTGAGACTGGAAAGGTAGTTGTTTTGTTTTTTAATTTCACTTCAGAGCTGATGTTAATGGGTCCTTCCTTACCCAAGGAGTCAGAAGCTAATGAACAGGGTGACTTTCTTACACACTGAAAGCTAATGTTCAATCAGATGTTTCTCTGACGCTTTTAGTTGTAGGAGTTTCTTTCTGTGAACTGAATACAAAACTCAGGAACTGGTGGATTCTTCTAGAAGTCCTTTGAACAGTGTAGAGTTGACCTTGAGTCTAGCCAGACTGTGTGACCTGACTTTGAACATTCTGATTTGAGGGTTATCTTTCTTCAGAAATGGTTTCATATTGTGTGTGACTCACTCTTGCATACTGTCTGAAAACTCCACGCAGTTTGTGACGCTATGACCAGTTTTCTTCATTTACCTAAAACCTTGTTTGCTCACATGAACATTTAGACGAGTAGTAATAATTATTGACATTTTCATCTTTCGGGTGTTAAATGTCTTTAGTTGTCCCCCGTTTAGAGAGACGTTGCTGGTTAGGAAATACAGTCATAGGCATACGAGATGTTAGTGTGTTGCAGCAGTGGACGTTTAACCAGTTCTTATTGCTGCTTTGTGTGTGTGTGTATGTGTGTGTGTGTGTGTGTGTGTGTGTGTGTGTGTGTGTGTGTGTATGACTTAGAAAGGTACAGTGGCCATCTGTGTCACAGCTCAGTTGACAGCTGCATTCCATTGAACAGCTGGCCTCGTAAGATACAATCCTCATTTCCTATTTCATGCTTTTGTGCCTTTAAGGAGATACTTTTATTATTTTGTGTTACAGAACTACAGTGTGTTCCAAGTATTCGTGGGCTTATTTGTCACGAAAGGTCATTTCTCTGTGTCACTTTATTTCCTTTTCTATAGCTGAAGACGATGTAAACAGTCATGCTGTACTTTTATAAGGGTTTGTCTTGTTACCGATTTCAAATATATTCTTACTCAGACATCATCGAAGTAAACTTAATTCTGAGTATTGTAAACAGTGCCTTTTTGATGGAATTCACACTGTTTTGGGTGTCAACGCGTGCCATATTCACAGAACCTTGTGGAAGGCAGTTTTAACTTTTTGAAGAATATCTTCATCAAATTTTAAAAAACAAATGTATAAAATTCCATCTTTTTCCGGTGTTTAGCATTTCTAGTCAGCAGTAAATAGTTTTGTTTTGCTTTCTTGTCTTATGTACAGGGATGATGGCATAAGATGAGCCATACATGAGCCTACAGGTTACTTTGAATTATGTTAAATATAAATAAAATGTTCATGTTTATATCAAACTTTCCAAATTGACCTATAGGAGGAACTCCCATAATTCAGTGAGTTTACATTATTTGACTACCTGTATAAAGAGATTCTTTAAAATGTAAACCTGCCACCTCTGCATAAGTTGGTTTCATTTTGTTACGTACTTTGTGGGTTTAGTATATCCACTTTTTGTTACAATTACAATACTATTTTGTTACAATTTTTAATTGAAGATGGACTGTTAAAATTGTACAGGACCAGGGTCTATTAATAAGATTAACATACTTAGTGAGAGCCACAGGAAAACCTTGACAAAAATGAATGTGTTTATACTTTATGAAGTATTTAGAAAAATTAGCCTCTTCATTTATCATGAAAGTTATTTTAATACCATAATATTGAAACTCTTTATTTGAAAAAAATTGCCATGAAACCTTTGAATGATGAGCCACAGACCTTCAGTTGGGTTTATATTCACCTTTTGGCATGTAAAGTACACATTTAATTTTAAATACATCAGTTAATGGCTGTTTATAAAGTCAAGAACTACCACTGGTCAGTTTTGTATGATAGGCAGTAAGTGTGTTGTTACCCACAGTTTCAGTTAAATTCTCTTAAGGTGCATAGTAAATGTATAGATAGTCACAGGCGGTTTTGTAATGTATACATTTCTAATCTATTATTCCTAACCTGTCATGTTTGCAGAGAGAAAAGAATTTTTCTAATGATCTGTAAAATTATGTTAACTTCTACAAGTAGGTATTCTAAATAAACTTTTTTTTAAAAGCAATCTGATCCAATGACTCCTGCTGATATAATGTAGTAACTAAATTAATCTTCTCTCATTTTGCTTTGTTTGGGGGTGTGTATGCAAAAGGGGCAGGCTTGACAGGGATTTAACCGAATCCCTAATGTATGTTTTTCTAAATAAGTGGAAATTATACATATTTCATACATTAAAAATGAGGCTCAAAGTTTCTAGATGACCTCAAGAACTAAACAGTAAGAATGAAAGCACAATCTTTCTGAAAAGCTAAAAACGTTTTGAATCATGTCTACACAGTACACTCAAGTAGAAGCATGATTGTAGTATTTAAATGTTTGAAATAACCCACTACTTAAGTCTATATTCCGATAATGACAAGTGATGAATACAACAGAAGCATTACCATTGAACATTTAAATGTTGTCCCCTCTAGTCACCTGTTAGTGAGGAGTCCATACTGAGTAAACCTCAAATAAACTCCAGTACAGTTTGACTCCTGGTTTCCTCCTCCTTTCTCCCCATTCTAGCTTACCCCTTAGAATCCATTTGCTACTTCTAGAAATAACAGAACCTACAATGCTCTGCCTTGCATGGGAATACAGGTTAGGAAAAAACCTCAGTGTTAAACATCAGTGTGTATCTACAAGATCACTTTTTTTGCTAATACTGACATGTTTGATCTGCATTCTTATGGATATAACAGCCCAAGAGTTATGATCCACCATAAGAATGTTGTGAGTAAATGACAAATACTTGACTCTACTTGATCCGTGATAGAAACTGTACAAAGTACTTTCTAGTGTATCTACCTCAGAACTTTTTTTTCAGTGTATGATCTCCATTTTTTTTTTTTTTTTTTTTTTTTAATGAGGAAAGCGGGGACCACATAACTTATTTGCTGAATGTCACGGATGATTGACTGGAAGGACCACCTCAGCTATGAATTCAGAGCCCATGGTTTCCCTGAAGCCTGTGTTTTAATTGGGAACATTTCTGTTTGGGGGTTGTATCCAATATGCGACATTAATGTGTGTTGGATCGAATGTGAATAAAGGGCAAACATCTATTTCTGCTGGAGTGGTCAAACTAGTTGGGTTTCTCAGATACCAGAATGCAGGAAAGATAGCACACCCCAGCGGAAGTCAGCCTAAAAATGGCGGTGGCCAAGCTCTCCGTGTCCGTCCTGCATCCTAAAACCATTTGCATGAAGTTAAGGAGAGCAATTGATCTGGGCCCTGCAGGAGTAGGACCGGGAAAGCACGCAAGTCCCTTGGTCCCAGACTTTCCCGGTGCAGACCTAGGGGGCGTGGCCAGGGGCGCCTGCAGTCTCCGCCCCTCCGCCCGGCGGGCCCCACTCCACTGCAGAGCCCCGGGGGCTCGCCCGCCGCGCGAGGCAATGGCCAATCCACGCCGGCCGTCCTGCTGCACTTCCGGCTTCCTCCCCGCCTCTTCCGTTTCCGCCCTCCGGCGGTCCTGACTTCCCGCCCTCTGTGTGGCAGAAGCGGTTGGCGGCGGCCCCGGATCCATGGCCCAGTCCCCGGGGTCCGTGACCGCGGCGCTGCGGGTGGCCGAGGCGCTGGAAAGCATCGCCAGCCGCTGCGTGGGGCCCGAGGGCGGGCAAGTGTTGTGTACGAAGGCCACCGGCGAGGTGCTGCTCAGCCGGGATGGAGGCCGCCTCCTGGAGGCGCTGCACTTAGAGCATCCCTTAGCCAGGTACCTCGCGCCACCTGCCGTCCGCCAGGCCCGCAGGCTCCCTCAACCCTCCCATCCGGTCCTGAGGCCCTGGACCTGGAATAAAAACATCTTGTAAGACCAGTGTAGACCTCAGGTTAGAGCGCCGCCCAAACGACTTAGCCCTGGGTCCCAAACCTCATCAACGACCTGGAACATTTCTCCTTTCCCACCCCTGGGATCTCAGAATAGAACAAAGTAGTTTAGAAAAGTAAAAACGTCTGCGTGTCAAAAAGACGATAGTCCTTATGTCTGTAGCAATGAAAACATGAGTTTAACATGGCGCCAGTGTAGAAAATCTGAGTTCCTTTTTTTCCCCTCCTCTCTATACAGGATGATAGTGGCGTGTGTTTCCAGTCACCTTAAAAAAACAGGAGATGGTGCTAAAACGTTTATTATTTTTCTTTGCCATTTACTCAGAGGACTTCATGCAACCAGAGGAAAAGAAAAAGATTCATCATTCACTTCTGCAAATATTCAGACCCATGAAAGGCACTGGAGAAACTGTTGTCAGTGGAAATCTATTTCTCAGGCTCTCTTGACGTTTCAGACCCAAATACTAGATTGTATTGTGGACCAGTACTTAAGCAGGCACTATTTGTCTGTCTTTTCTTCCTCTGCTAAAGGAAGAACACTGTGTAGGCACTCTTTAGAGTCACTCCTGGAGGCATACTTTTGTGGAAGAGTGGGAAGAAACAATGGCAGATTTATTTCACAGTTGATGTGTGATTACGTTTTCAAGTGTATGGCTTGTAAACGGGGGATTGAAGTATTTGAGCTGGTGGACAACTTTTTTGTGGAGTTGAATATTGCTGTGACAGGCCTCCCTGTTTCAGATTCTAGAATTGTGGATGGCCTGGTGCTGCACCGAGACTTTTCTGTGTATTGCCCAGCAGATGGTGATATAAGGGTGGTGTTGGTAACGGAAATCCTCCAGCCTCTGTTCTCATCATCCAGATCAGAGTTTATTCTAAATTCAGAAGCGCAGTTTCAGGCATCTCAGTGTTGGATCATGGAAAGGACAAAAGCAGTAATGAGACATATGCATAGTCAGAATATAAAACTGCTCCTGTCCAGTGTGAAGCAACCAGACCTGGTTATTTACTGTGCACGATTAAATAGCATATCGGTGGTGGAGTGCCTGTCATCCGAAGAGGTTTCTCTTGTCCAGAGGATCACTGGTCTCCTTTCATGTGATCTATCACAGGTCACCTCAGGGTGTGAAATTTTGGATACTACTTTGGTGAAATTTTGTAAGCCTCTTATCCTTAGATCCAAAAGGTATGTTCATCTTGGCTTGGTTAGCACATGTGCATTTGTACCTCACTGTATGATCCTTTGTGGGCCGGTTTTGGGTCTTGTTCAACAACACGAGAGTGCTTTTCATGGAGCGTTTAAAATGCTTCGACAGCTATTTTCTGACCTTGATCTAAATTACATTATACAAACCAAAGACCAGAGTGGCCCAAGTCTTCTTACTTATAGCAAAGGCAGAGAAAGCAATGGTAAGTATCAGGACACAAGAGTAAAAAGCCAAAATAAATTGGAAAACACTCAGACATATTTAAAAGTATATTCAAATTTGGTGGCTTCAGATACAGAATTAAAAACACGTATGCCATGGGCGGTACACAAGGAGATGCCAGTAGATACATCTCAAACAGACGAAATACTGAAGTGCTTGTCTCCAGAAAAAAACTGGGTAATTGATGACTCTGAACTGTTGATTGAGAATAATTCCACTGGAGATCCTACAGCAGAAGACACTAGAACCAAAACTTCTCCTGAAAATGTACAGGTCACAGATAATCCTGGAAAAGGGTACACGTTGCCAGTGATATACAAGTCACTGGACACTTGTACCTCCCAGGGTTATTGTTCATCAGCTATCCTCGCAGGCTGTGTTCTGCCAGTGGGTGGTAATTTCGAGATCTTGCTCCACTACTATCTCCTCAACTATGCCAAACAATGCCGGCAGTCAGATGAAGCCCTGGTCAGTATGTTAATAGCCAATGCACTTTTAGGCCTCCCGAAAATCCTTTACAAGTCTAAGAAAGGAAAGGACAGCTTTCCACACCTGTACGTGCGATCTCTGCATGCACTGCAAACCAGTCAGCCCATAGTAAGTGGTCAGTCAGGCTTGGAGCCAGTAGCTGGTAAGTACCAGTTACTAACTTCAGTTCTTCAGTGTTTGATGAAAATACTAACCATTGATTTAATAATCAATATTAAGAGACAACCTCAGAAGATCGGTGACCAAGATTCAGAAGATGAACTTTAACACTGTCCGTTTTTTGTTGCTCAAACTTTGAATCTGAGGCCAGGGAGAAAGCAATCCAGATGACCTATGGTCAATGCCCAGAGTTCACTGGCTGGAAGGAGAGGATGGAGTCCTGAGGCTTGTCCTGTGTCCTACGCACACATTTCAGATGCACACAGTACATGTTAGGAAAAAGCTTTATTCAACTCAAGCTAAAAATCAAAATGGGCTTCTGGCTAACTTTGAAGGCAATCCAGTATTTACCTTAAGTGCATTGAGTCCCAGACCATTCAGACACAAATATCAGCTCTAGGGAACAAAGACTTGGCTAAATACGTCTCTTTCCTGCATTATATAGTCTGTCTCAGGTCTGTGTTATCTGTGTCTAAGGGAGCATGTCGCTATATTTCCCTTTTCTGTATTTTTTTCCACTCCATTTCCTTGAACGTCCTGTATTTCATAGTCATGTGATCTCCCCACCTGAAAGAGGCCTGCCGATGCTATCCCCTGTTGTTCATAAACATGAATATGAAATTGTTATGTTTTATTTAAAGTAGTTTTTCTATGAGAAAAATTTGTAAAGCAGTAAATAAAGTCAAATTTTCTCTGTAAAAGCGTATACATTAATTTGTGTGTCATTTGGTTTGTTTATTTCTATTGAAAGCAGCTGGTTGGGGGCTGGGGCCATGGTTCAGCTGGAAAGCATTTGCCAGCCAAGCCTGCCACCCTGAATTTAAAGGGGAGAACCAGTTCCACAAAGCTGTCCTCAGGGCTCCGTGTGTACACCGTGGCACTTGCATGCACACAAAAAGGGTAAAGTTTCAAAATCTGCACCCTTGAATACCTGTTCAAAAATGACTTTGCGCCGCGAATTCCCCTTTTATAATTAGAAGTTAATGCCAGAAAAGATGGGAAATTATACTTTTCATTTGCTCCTGGCTCTGTAAGCCCTGGAAGGATTTAATGCAGTGGCTAGTATTTCTTAGTTTGGGTGCATGGCCGGAATTCAATAGCAACAACCTGACAGTTGTGTATTGTATGTTGACATGTGTTTGCATGTCACTTTAAGAGCTTCTGAGTGCAAACAGCACACTGTGTGTCAAGTCATGAATAAGAACAGTGTCTTCTACTTTTAGTGATTCTCTGTAACACCCCAAACAATGTTTTCTTTATGCCAAGTGTTCAAATGTGCTTGTTAAGTAACTGTTACCACACCGGTTCCCCTAAATACATATTTCTCGTTCATTCATTCAGTAAATCCTTACTATGCAAATACTCAGATGCTGGCTCTGTGTGCTGTCAAGCAGTGCCTTCAGAGATTAATAGATAAACATTGGCTTGTAATTGAATTTAGAAAAAGTAGAACAAAAACACCTTTGTATTTGAAATGTTTCTGACTAGTAATGTGTTTGTAAGCTAGTAGGCTGGGAAGATGACTGGGAAACTGGCCTGCTACCCAGGCATGAGGAACCTGCCTCTGAATCCCCAATACCTACCTAACAGCCAGGCTTGGCAGCATGCCTCTGTAACCCCACAACTGGGGGATTGCCAGGAGTAGACAGGCAGATCCCTGGAGCTTGCCTGCCAGCCAGTCCAGCCAATTGACAAGCTCTAGATTCAGTGAGACTCCCTCAAAATAACTGGTTCTGTAAGCCATGTTGATGCATGTGGTCCTTGTTTCCACGGGATAACATCTTGATGGCCATGACCTCTTTGTCTCCTTAGGACCACGTTAAGGTATGTATTGTTGGTTTCCAATGGGAAGAACGTAAATTTCCAAGAATTGAAATATCAACTGAAACTAAGTTGACATCCAGAATGCTGCCATCTCAAACAAGTTGATGTCTTTGATCCTGTTGTGTCTGTTAAACATTTGGATGACCATGAGCAGACCTATCATGCTATTCCTATTACTGCTGGAAGCCATGTTGATGCCGGGGTTCTTTCTTGCCCATGGATCTGATGTTGATGTCTATCATCTGTCCTGCTCTCTGTGACAATGTTGATGTGAGAGTTCTGTGTTGCCAACATGAAAAATGTTCCTTTCCCTGATCTAAACTATCATTGAAAACCATGTTGCTGTCCATTCTACATGCTGCCACCTGAAACCATGTGAATTTAATTGATCCCTGCTGCCTCTGTTCACCATATGAATGTCCATGATCAGATTATAATGCTATTCCTACTACTTCTGGAAACAGTGTTGATGCTCATGATCTTCTTACCACTGGACACCAGGTTGATTCTATGATCTCTCCTGCTACCTGTGACCATGTTAAGGTAAGTGTTGCTTGTTGCCAATGTGTAGAATGTTAATTCCCAAGATTTAACCAAGCAATGGTAACTAAGCAGATACACAGAATTCATGCTGTCGCCTGCAACCATGCTGCTGCCTCTGTTAACCCTGTAGATGTCTATCAATGGACCTCTAATGCGTTCCTATTGGTTCTAAAGCCATGTTGATGCATGTGGTCCTTGTTTCCATGGGAGAACATCTTGATGGCCATGACCTCTCTATCTCCTTAGGACCATGTTAGGTAAATATTGTTTCCAACATAAAGAATGTAAGTTTCCAGGAATTGAAATATCAGCTGGAACTAAGTTGACACCGGAATGTATGCTGCCATCTCAAACAAGTTGATGTCATTGATCCCTGCTGCCTCTGTTAACCATGTTGATGTCTATGATCAGAACTTCCATGCTATTCCTATTGGTTCCGGAAGCCATGTTGATGCCCATCATGCCACTTGTTACTACTGGAAAACATCTTGATATGGATGACCTGTCTGGATACTGGTGACTACATTAAGGTAAATGTTCTGTGTTACCAGTGTGAACAATGTAAATTTGCAAGAATTAAACTACCATCTGAAACTAAGTTAATACCCATAGTTCATGCTGCTGCCCGCAGACAAGTTGATGCCAGTGTTCCCTGCGGCCTCCGTTAAACATTTTGATATCCACGATCGGATAGTCCATGGTGTTCCTACTATTTCTGGGATCCATGTCAATGCCTGTGGTCCTTCTTACTCCTCGATAGGAAGTTTATGCCCATCTTTCCTGCCATTGTGTTGCCAATGAGAAAAATGTCAATTTTCAAAATTTAATCTACAATCTGAAAATAAGTTGATATCCATGTTTCATGCTGCCACCTGCAACCACATTGATGTCATTGATCCCACATGCCTCTGTTAACCAGATTGATGTCCAACATAGGACCTACCATGCTATTCCCACTATTTCTGGAAGCCATGTTGATGCCTGTGGTCCTTCCTATCACTGCATACATTGTTGATTTCCAACATCTCTCCTCTCCTTGTGACCACATTAAAGTAAGTGTTCTGTGTTGCCAATATGCAAATTGTTAATTTCCAAGATTTAACCTACCATCCAAAAGTAAGATGAAATCCATAATTCATGATGCCTCCTGAAACCATGTTGATGTCTTTGATCCCAAGTGCCTCTGTTAATCAAATGGATGTCCATTATGGGATGGACCTACTATGCTATTCCTACTATTTCTGGAAGCCTTGTTGATGCTTATGGTCTTTCTTACCCGTGGATATGACATTGATGTCCATCAACTCTTCTGTCACCTGAGACCATGTTAGTGCAAGAGTTCTCTGTTGCCATCATGATGAGTGTTAATTTCCGTGATCTCAGCTACCATGTGAACTATGTTGATATCTGTAGTACATGCTGCCACCTGTAACTTTGTTGATATCACTGCTGCCTGCTGCCTCCTTTTCCATGTTGATGTCTATCATGAGCCTTACCATGCCAATCCTGTTGGTTTGAAGGCCATGTTGATGCCTTGTGTTACGTTTTGCTCTTGGATAAGATGCTGATGTTGATGGTCTGTCCTGCCACCCAAGACCATGTTGAGGTAAGTTTTCTGTGTTGCCAACATGAAGAATATTGATTTCCATGAGTTGATCTGAACCTAAGTTTATATCTGTAATTCATTCTGTCCTTGAACCATGTTGATATCACTGATCCTTGCTCCTTTGTTTATCATGTTGATTACCACGATCTGACCAACCATGCTATCTCTACTACTTCTGGAAGTTGTGGATGCCTGTGGTCCTTGGTACCCCTGGATATGATGTTGATGTTGATGTTCTGTCCTGACTCCTGAGTCCATGCTGAGGTAAATGTTTTTGTTGCCAATGTGAAGTATGTTCTTCTCCTTGATCTAACCTACTATCCAAAACTAAGTTGTACGAGTACTGCTCATCTGAGCTTCCATGTGAGGATAGCCAGTAGAGCCTTGAAAATCTTAACAGAATGTCCTCCTCCAACAGCTACCAACTGCCAAGTGCTCTTCATAAGAGGCAAAGCATGAGAACACACTCCTCTATCAATGCCAAACTTCTGGATGGCTTGTTCTTATATGGGTATCTAGGTAACCACAGTTCCCGTGGGTTCATAAGCGCAATACCCATAGCCTGTCCAGAAGAGAGCGTGTTGGGACACTCCTCATTTTCTTTCTCTTACGTTCTTGTTACTTCCTCTTCCTGTGCTGTCCCCTGAGACTTGGAGGGTGTGGGAAGTGGCATCATTGTCCATTGGGGATTTTGCTTCTACTGGCACTTAATTCTCTGCCCATTGGCAAATTGTGGGTCTGTGTAGTGATTGGTGCCCACTTCAAAAAGGTTTTTTTGGTTGGGGATTTAGCTCAGTGGTAGAGCACTTGCCTCCCAAGCGCAAAACTGGGTTCGGTCCTCAGCTCTGGGGGGGAATAGTTTTTTTGTTGTTGTTGTTGTTGTTTTGTTTTGTTTTGTTTTTACCAAGGTAGAGAACAATCTATGGGTATAAACAGAAATATTTAGAAGGCAATATTATAGCATCACTTCTGAGAAAAGTTCCAATAGCAGGTTCTATCCTATGACCTATGCCACGAGCCTTTGACTATGGTTACAGTACCAAGCATGAAATCCCCTTATGTTGGGTAGGTCCAATGCACTAAGAAAGCAGGTGGTTACATCATAATAGTGATGCAACCATAGCAACAGTGGGCAAATCTTGTCTGGCAAGTCAGTGTTAGAGCATGTAGTCCCCAGCACTGGGTAAGTACATGGGTGTCTTTGATCCCCAATCCCATTCTGGCACTATGAAAGTGCACTACCAGCAGGAAGGTAGTTTTCCAGTAATTGTGAAATGAATTTCTCTGTCTTTAGCTAAAGTGTGTGGCACCTTTATCATTAGGTGTTTATCATCAAGTTGTGGTGGGTAACCAAGGACAGTGGGAAAAATATTTGCTGTTTTGTTTTGTTTTGTTGGGAGTGGGGGTGTTTGAGGCAGGGTTTCTCTGTGTAGCTTTGGAGCTTTGGAACTCACTTGGTAGCCCAGGCTGGCCTCAAACTCAACAGAGATCCACCTGGCTCTGCCTCCCAAGTGCTGGGGTTAAAGGCTGTTGAGGCCTCTTTGGCCAGTCCTTCAAGGTGAGGTGTCTTCTTTCTTACATTGTGGTTTTCATTTAATAGCCTGTGTTTTGTGGGAGTGAAATTGTCGATGCATGCAAGATAACTATGTTTGAACTCTTTGTTTTAAATTGTATTTGGAAATCACCTAAGATGTGAGTTCCCATAAAATATTTTTAGTGCATCCATAGTTTTTTAAGTCCATCACAATATATGCTCTTCTCCCTCATTTCCTTGACCCTCATTAATCTTTTAACTCCCTTATATGTCTTTTTAGTTTCATATCCCATGAATGTTACTCTCCCTCCAATTATATTTTAATTGGATTATGGGATCATAGGCTTTGATATAGGTTTATCCACCCTTTCTTTGAGATCTTTCCGTACCCCCAATTTAGTTCTTATTTCCGTGTTCCTACCTACCTAAGTCTTTCCAATCACCGAAGTCTGACGCTCTTATTTTTCCTAGAATTTCCCATACTCCCTCACTTAATGTATCCTCCTAAAGGCCTCCTTTTGGCTTTCACTAGGTATCAGCAAAAAAACATATGAATAATTGAATAGAAATGCCATAAAAATAAGTATTTCAAAGGTATTAAAGAACTGGCAAATGTGAGTGATACCAATAAATGTAAAATACAAAATGCTCATTAGTAACCAGAGACATTGGAATTAAAACTATGAAATACAATTTGGAATTGAATTCCATAAGCTAATTTGGAAAATCTCGCATATAGAAGTTATTCTAAAAATAAGTACTGCCAATTATGTGGAAAAGAGCATATGTTTTATGTTTTTTATGAGTTTAGTTATTCTAATTAGTTTTAAATAATTTGGAATTACATCATGAAAATAAAATAATTGCTATCCTATGATGATATAATCTAGGTGTTTTCATTAGAGGGAAATTTCATGTTCTTAAACCAAGATGAATGTACAAATATCCATCACATTGTAATAGAAAAATAGAAGTAATCAATGCTTTTCCAACAAAATTTTTGTTTTCCAACAAAATGAATAAACCATTTTAATGTATTTATGAAAAACATTACATAATTGTGACAAAGCAATACTATATAGTTAGTATGAGTATGTCTGTAGTATGAGTATACCTTCCTGCCCCTGCCACTTTAATTGACAGAGCCCTATATTATCATGTTCCAAGAACGTTTCCTTCTTGCCTGTTTAGTACATTGCATTCTATACTTGCTAGTCTCAGTACTAGGATCCCAAAGTCTCCAGCAAGCAACAATAGATTTTAGTTCAATGTGATTCCTACCCTCTACCTTGGCCTACATATCCTTGTTATGGGAACCACAATGACTCAAAACAGTATAGGGGTGAAGAAAGAAAAAAAAAATCCAATGTAGGTCATTGGAAATGTTTGTGTGTGGAGCCTCTATAACTTTCACTAGATCGGAAGTATCTAGTTATTAAGAAATGCATCATCTTATAATGACCATTGTATCAAGGTCTGTACAATTTTTAGAGGACTATTACTATAAATTCACTTGGTATTAACTTTCCATCTGATAGAATATTTTTATTTTTAGGTATTTTTCTTGTATCTCTGATCTCTCCAAGACCATTATCATGAAGTGGTGTTGGATTTTGTCTAAGGCTTTTTTTTTTTTTTAGCATATATTGAGATGATTTTTTTTCTTTCAATTTGTTTATATGTTAGATTACATTGACAGATTTTCACATGCTGAACCATCCCTGCATCTCTGGGATGAAACCTATTTGATCATGGTGGGTGTTTTTTTTTTGTTGTTGTTGTTAGTGGTGGTGGTGGTGGTGGTTTTTTTTTTTTTTAATGTGTTCCTGGATTCGTTTTGCCAGCATTTTATTGAGTATTTTTGTATCAGTGTTCATGAGTGAGATTGGTCTGTAATTCTCTTCCTTAGTTGCATCTTTGTGTGGTTTGGGTGTCAGGGTAACTGCTGCCTTGTAAAAAGAGTTTTTTAATGTTCCTTCTGTTTCTGTTGTGTGGAACAATTTGAGGAGGATTAGTATTAGCTCTTCTTTGAAATTGTGGTAGAATTCTGCACTGAAACCATCTGGTCCTGGGCTTTTTTTGGTTGGGAGACTTTTAATGACTATTTCTATTTCCTTAGAGTTTATAGGTCTATTTAAATTGTTTATCTGGTCTTCATTTAATTTTGGTATGTGGTATCTATCCAGAAAGTCATCCACTTCTTGTAGATCTTCCAGTTTTGTAGAGTACAGGTTTTTGAAGTATGACCTGATAATTCTCTGGATTTCCTCATTATTGTTGTTATGTCTCCCTTTTCATTTCCTATTTTGTTAATTTGGATATTCTCTCTCTGCCTTTTTGTTAGTTTGGATAAGGGTTTACCTATCTTGTTGATTTTCTCAAAGAACCAACTCTTTATTTCATTGACTGTCTATAATGTTTTCTTTTTTTCTGTTTTATTGTCTTCAGCCCTCAATTTGATTATTTCCTGGCGTCTGTTTCTCCTGGGTGACTCTGCTTCTTCTTGTTCTAGAGCTTTCAGGTGTGCTGTTAAGTCACTAGTGTGAGATTTCTCTAACTTCTTTATGTGGGCATTTAGTGCTATGAATTTCCCTCTTAGCACTGCTTTCATGGTGTCTCATAAGTTTGGGTATGTTGTACATTCACTTTCATTGAATTCTAGGAAGTCTTTAATTTCTTATTTCTTCCTTGATTCAGTTGAGTATTATTCAGTTTCCATGTGATTGTGGGCTTTCTGTAATTTTGTTGTTTGTTGTTGTTGTTGTTGTTGTTGGTGGTGGTGGTGGTGGTGGTGAAATCTAGCTTTAAGCCATGGTGGCCCGATAAAATACAGGAATTTATTCCTTTTTTTTTTTTTTTTTGTATCTGTTGAGATTTGCTTTGTAACCGAGTGTGTGATTGATTTTAGAGACGGTTCCATGGGTGCTGAGAAGAAGGTATATTTTTCTTTGTTAGGGTAGAAAGTTCTGTAGATATCTCTTAAGTCCATTTAAGTCATAATATCTGTCAGATCCCTTATTTCTCTGTTAAGTTTCTGTCTGGCAGATCTGTCCATTGGTGAGAGTGGGGTGAAATATCCCATTATAAGTGTAAGGGCTTTGATGTGCTATTTAAGCTTTAGTATTTTTTCTTTTACATATGTGGGTGCCCTTGTATTTGGGGCATAAATGTTTAGAATTGAGACTTCATTCTGGTGGATTTTTACTGTGATGAATATGTAAAGTCCTTCCTGATCTCTTTTTGTTGATTTTAGTCTGAAGTCTATTTTGTTAGATATTAGGATAGCTACACCAGGTTGCTTCTTAAGTCTATTTGATTGGAAAGTCTTTTCTCAGGCTTTTACTCTAATGTAGTGTCTGTCTTTGAAGTTGAAGTGTATTTCTTGTATGGAGCCTTGTATCCATTCTGTAGGCCTGTGTCTTTTTATAGACGAATTGAGACCATTGATATTAAGGGATATTAATGACCAGTGATTGTTAATTCCTATTATTATTATTATTTTTTTGGTGGTAGTGTGTGTGTATTTCCCTTCTTTGGGATTTGCTGCTGTGGGGTTATCTATTGCCTATGTTTTTGTTTTTGTTTTTGTTTTTGTTTTTTTTTGTTTTTTTGGTTTTTTTTTTTTGGTTTTTCGAGACAGGGTTTCTCTGTGTAGCTTTGCGCCTTTCCTGGAGCTCACTTGGTAGCCCAGGCTGGCCTCGAACTCACAGAGATCCGCCTGGCTCTGCCT